CCACTTTATCCTCGGTTTGGAGAGTGCAGTTTATAAAGGCAGGGTGGGTGTTTCCTTGGGTAAACAGTAAATAAGGGAAGGAGCTTTCGTTCAGGTGTTCTTGGCATGTTGGGGGGATTGGAGTTTTCCTGCTGTGGATGTTTCTGGCAGTGGGAGGGGGAGTGCAGGCTGTGGGGGTGGGAAGCAGGACTGTGCAGCAGTTTCCTCACCACGTGCAGATCCTTGGACAGCTGCAGTCAGGGAGCAGTGGGAATTTCTCACTGACGTCAGCCCTTGGTGCTGACGCATCTGCCTCTCATTAACTACTCAAGATGGGTCATTACTCTTCCAGCAGGCAAAGAATTTTCTTTAATCCCCAGGCGTGAAGACAAGTGTTTGTTCATTTTCACTACAGATGTTCCTTCTGTTGTTTCACCTGCACCTTGTTTTGCAACTTCCATTTGGGTGGGGAAAACACGGGCAGTTTTCTCTGCCCTTGAAAAGGCACCAGCTTCGATTTTTTCACATTGTGATGGAATTTCCACCGGGATCTGGCATAGCTATTTTGTTTCTTTTTTCCTACTTGAATGTCTTGTTTCTCTTAAATGTCCTCATAACATTTATGCAGACCAGTATTTACTGTCTGCTCCTGTTTTGGTGCTGCACTTGCATGAAACCCCACAGGGAGTTGCTGCTCCGATCATGATGTGCTCTTACCATTCCACAGCGACTGACACTTTTCAATGGCACATAAGCAGACAGACATTTAGGATTCCTACTCATCTGAAAGTGAACTTGGCAGTGCCCAGTGCTGAAATCCATCCTGTGCTTGGGCAGTTTGCAGCCCCCACTGTCACAGTGAGCTGTGCTGTCCTCCCTGTTCGAATCCGGGGTACAGAAAGGGTGTAACAGTGCTCAGAGTCCGAGGAGAATAAAACCCCCTCATGAATATTTTCTGTTTGAACAGATTTGGGGGCTTTTTTAAAGACTTGTTTTCACTGAACAAGGAGCCAGGCCAAATCTGACCAGCTCCCAGATTTCCTAGTGCCTGCTGCTGAAGGTGAGAGATATCAGGGGGTGATACCAAACCATTGCCCACAGATCTTTGTTGTGCTCTGGTTGAAATCGAGGACTGGAGGGGAGCTGGGCACTGTCACAGAAACAGGAACTGGGACACTGTCTCCTCCCAGTAGGCAGGATGGCACAGAGGACGCTGCCAGGGCCTCCAACACCAGCGACATCTTCGCTTAAAAGGCTTCTGGCTGGTCTTTCAGAGGCAGTGACACATGAGACACTAAAATAATAACAGACTGATTCAGTGTAGGAACATTTTGCTACTGGATGTTGTCAGGTACTTGGTTGAGTGCAGGTACAGGAGTGAATAATCCAAATTCTGTAATAAAAGTACTGGTAAAACAAAATCATCACTCCTCTTCCTAGAAAATAAATCTCTTTTCTGCCCCTTAAGGCTTGTTTTCTGTCATTTATGAGAAAAAAAGGACCATTTGGCCACCTAATGCAGCTTGCATCAAACAAGTTTTAATTTTCTCTGGACTGTGACCCTAACAACTTCAGGAATTCCAGTAGAAAAGGCTTTTGCCAGGGTACTGAAAATGGGGTTGTCTAACTTAGGGTCTGCAGAACAGGGTCTATCAGTTACCTGCTCTTCCAGGCCCAATGCATCTGGCAGCATCTGGGCATGTAATCCTGGGCAAGAAAGCTTCCAGGTGACTAAAAATAATACCAGCATCCCACTCCCAAAAAGCAGCCGTCATCTTGGCCTTGGAGGTAACAGTTTCCCAGGGTGTCTCTCAGGTTAATAGTTTTGGGCTAAAGAAACTCTCCTATTTGTATTCATTTTTGCACACGTAGCAGTGAAGTTAAATTTAGTTTATAAAAAAAAATACGGAAAATACTGTATAAGCATCCAAATCAGGCTGGTTTGTGGAGCTCAGTAAACAGAAAGGAAGCAGCATTTTAATCCAAGTGAGGGATTGCATCCTGATCGCCTCTCAGTACATGCATATTTCATCAGTCGTTGTTCTGCAAAGCAAACACCCTGCAAGGGTTGCTGCTGCACAGCTCCTCATCTCCTCAGCTTTTCCAGCACAAACTACACTGTCAGTGCATGAACTCACAGCAAAGGGAGCCATGCTTAATTTATCTGGAAAAGAGTTGGGTAAAATAAAGCAGCACTACGACAAAGAACACGAGTTCTGGGTCCTCTAGAGGCAGCATTTGGGCTGAGAGCTTCCAGTCTTTCATTAGTTTGGGTTCTCCAGTGCCCCTGTCTGTGCAGCTCCCCTCAGTGGTGTGGTGGCACAGGGTGACAGCTTTGCCTTTGCCCACACACCACATTCACTGTGCAGCACCAGAGCAGGAGTGACTCCAGAGCAGTTCCACTGCTGGGGATGGGGCTGATCTCACAAGTACAGGGATGTTCTTGTGTTCTGCTGCTGCTCCAGTGACACAGCAAAGTGAAATCCCTGCCCTCCTGCTGTTCCCTGGTCACCCTGCCAGCCTGCTGTGCTCTGTCCCAGCAGAGCTCTGTGAGGAGGTGCCCTGAGGAACGGCCCCCCTGCCAGCCCTGCCAGCTCCTGCCAATACAGGTGACACTGGGAAGGGTCTTGGCTCAAGAGAGCAACCACCCCACACCTCATGGAGTGTCTTTACTCTCTCCCTTCTCTCTTGAGCTGAGCTGCTCTCCACCTGGGGAGCTGCACATTTACTACCCTATTTATGCTTCTGCCATCCACTGGAGAGATAACACCTTCCAGCCTGGAAGTGTCCCCTTCTCCTCCCTGTCTGCACTGCATGCTTGGTACCTCTGTCCTTTCAGTATTGCCATCCTGGAATTATTCTTTTATAATGCCTGTTTCTCTTCTGATTGATCCCACCTTGGACATTCCTGACAGGCAGCACATCATGAGCTCTCCTGTTTGCCCAGAGGGTTCAGGCCCGGCTCTCAGCCCTCCTGGAAGTGCTGGCACTGCTTTCATTTCCCAGGGACATGCTGTTTGTAGGCTTTGGACACTTTGGGGGGGGATGCTCACCATGATTATTCCTAACCAGGGGCGCTCTGGGCTTTACTCCCTTTGTCTCTTACTCATTCTGTAATTCTCCAAAAACATGCAGTTCATTGCAGTCTGAATTTCCTGTCTCTCTTCCCAGCAGGGAAGTGATAGCTGAGTCCCAAAACTGATCATTTCTTGGGACATCTTTTTTAAAGTCTCTAGAAAAAATTAAAACATTTTATTTCACATGCTATCGAGGAATACATTCCAAGACTTTAAAGGAATTTTATATAGAGATACATTTTAGCCTGGCACAGACCTTACATCTCCTTCTGTACTGAACTATTTGCACAGTGCTGTGATAACCACATCTCTCTTCAGTGACAAAAGGAAGCAAAGCTCCAAGTCAAAGCCTAGTGCAAGGTATGAGAGTAGAATGTGACTCATACACTAAATAGGATACAGTTTTAATAACATACTTGTTGGCTGTGTTTTATGGCTGGTGACTACTTGATTCTCTTCATAAGCATTTCTGAACTGTCACATGGAGTCTCAGAAATGCTTTCACAGGGTGTCAGCAGTGCTGACCCTTCCTGTGGGGAGCTGTCGATGTGCAGGGCTCTGTGAAATGAAGCCACAGGGGAGATCCATCCCGGTGCCTTTCCTCCAGGGGGCGATTCCTTAGCAGAATTCACACCAGACAAGAACGGGAAGAGGCAGGAAGGACCTAATGTGTAGATTCCTGCCTGCCTGCCCCAGCCCCAGCCAGGACATGCACAGAGCAGCCTCTCCTGTCCCTGCCTCGTGGGCAGGGCTGTTCTTCCCTTCTGGAAAACCCGGAGCAGGGCTGGCTCTGCCCACCCTGTGCCCAGGACCTTCTGTTTGTAACTGTAGAAAGACCAGAAGAAATAATTGTTGGTTATGGTAAAAGCTGTCACAGAGTGGTAGCAAGGTGCAATTCAGATCATAAAATTCACTGTGTGGGAAGGTAAGCTGAAGTGAGTAATACGTCACCTGCCTCAAATGGGCAAGGCAATAAATGAAAGTGACTTTCTTCCTAAGAACACTGATGAACTTTTCATTGCAAACACAAACGGGAGGCACAGGTTGGGCTGTTCCCACCAGAGTGTCCAAAAAGCTGCAGAGAGACAGAGAATTGAATAAGGCACGGGCAGTGAAGTGTGTCAGCAGGAAGGTACTGAGGGAACCGGGGAGAAAATCTGTGGTTGCTCTCTGCCCTCGGGGCTGTTGGACACCCAGGGTGGGTGTAGTGGCTGAGGGTACAGAGAACACCTGGTGCGGCTCAGGTTGGAATCCCGCTGGAATCAGTTTATCGATCCCAGGTGCCCCAGGGCAGGTGATCGAGGGCTCTCCTGCCCTCGGGGCGCTCCGGCAGGGGAGGTTCCCGTGCTGTGGGACAGGGGGTAGCCCGGGGAGGTCCCTCTGCGATGGGACAGCGGGGAGCCCGGGGAGGTCCCTGTGCCGTGGGACAGCGGGGAGCACAGGGGAGGTCCCTGTGCCGTGGGACAGCAGGCAGTGGGACAGCGGGGAGCCGAAGCGGAGCAGCCGCCGCTCCGCAGGTGCCCTCGCCCAGCCCGGAGCTCCGGAGCGCGGCGGAACCACAGCAGCGTTCCCGCTGGAGCTGCGCGGCCTCGGGATTTACGGGAATGACATCCGCGGCTGACATCAGCTGGCAGCATTTGCATTGGATTGCGGTGTGCTCGGAGGTGGGGCTTGGCGGGGACTCTGCTCCGGGCTCCGATCCAGCCAGAGGGAGCTGGGAACATCCTCACTCCCGGCTCTCCATCCCGCACCGGCTCCTCCCTCCTGCAGCTCGGGCGGCGCAAGGTGAGTCCAGCAGCTTCTCCTCCTACTATGAGTGTCCATGAGCTACTACGGCGGGAGCGCAGCTGGTGCCGTGCGCTCGGTGCAGCCGAGCTGGGAAGGCAGTGCCTGCATCGCCGGGAGGAGCGGCATGTGCTTGCCCGGAGAGCCTTAACTACCCATCTTCCAGCACCCTGAGGATTGTGAGGAATTGCATTTTCCCAGCACCTTTGGTACTTCACTGTTCCCTGGTTTTTGTTCTGGTTATCAGAGGTGCTCTCACCTGAGTATTTCTTTATCGGATGCCTCAAAAGAGCATCTAGAAAAACAAAGAAACTTGTGATGTGGAGCTGACAGTTCTGGTTTCAGCCAGTGAAAACTTGCCGAGTCAGTGAGAAGGCAAAGCAAAAGGGATGCCAAGGACAATGTCAGTGATGCCTGGTAATTTGTCACTCAACGGGACGAGCTTCTTCAGTGAAAACCGTGGCATTGTGGACAAACCCAGTGAGCAGAGGACTTGGAATGTCTTTCTGTTCTGCTTGACTCTTACTGTTGCATTGCCAGCCCTTCTGAGCAGTATTTATTCACTAGTTTCCCTGCTGAAAATGCAGAGCAAAACCACACTGTCGATGATTGTGACCTCCTTGGCAGTAGATGATTTGATCAGCATCGTGCCACTGATTATGTTCATGCTCATGCAGTGGTCAGGTGAAGGCCTGCCCCAGCCTCTGTGCACCTCCTCAGCACTTATGTATTTATTCCAGGGCATTTGTAGCAACCTGAAAGGGTCACTTATAGTTTCTTACAACTTCTACACCATCAACACGACCGAGACCCCGAGCTGCAGCACGTCCAAGCGTCGTGTGAGCGTGGTATGGGCCATCCTCGCCATCTGGATTGTGGGTTTGCTGATCTGCATTCTGCCCCTCTGTGGCTGGGGCAGGTACATCCCCACCTCCTGGGGCTGCTTCACCGACTCTGCCAGTTCCTACGTCCTGTTTGTGGTCATCGGCTACTCCCTGTGCTTGTCCCTGCTGGCAGTGCTGGCTGTTCCCCTCACTCACCAGCTGCTGTGCTCGGCTGAGCCACAGCTCTTGCACACCGAGTACCTGGAGGTCCCTGGAGGCTCCACCACCCCCAGGACACCCATGGCTGCCCCGTCGCTGTCCCCGCTGGACCCTGTGGATAAAACCCTGGAGCGCTGCCGGAACTCGGGGGCAGTTCTGGGGAAGGGCGTGGGTGGGAGTGGTGCCCTCTGGAGCAGCAGGAGCTCCACGGTGGGCTTTGCCCAGAAACGGTTCTCGCTGATCCTTGCACTGACCAAAGTCATTCTCTGGCTCCCAATGATGGTAAATTGTCAGCTCTTTTCAGTGTTCACTTACAGTTCAGTGGGATGTGACCTGTGGGCCATGCCTTGAAACAGATGAGCAGTGGCCATGGCAGTTGTTCTTACAGTGCAGTTGTGCCAGCAGAAGTCCTTTCCAGCAGGTCTGTGCCACTGCAGGAGTTTAACTGGTGTCCAGTGGGTTCCACAGAACTTTGTTCATAGGCCTGATAGTCTGTTGTCACATCATTCTCGAGTAAAGGGGGGATTAAGGTACCAGTTTGGTATTCCCAGCTCTGTGACCAGGCATCTGCTCAGCATTTTGGGGTCTGGGAATTGTACTGAGCTAACAGCCCCTCCTCACAGCTCTGGGTCATCTCCTTTGGCAGGTGGGCTAAAAACCAGGAGTTTCACAGAAAAATGTCTTTTGTTTCTGCCTTTGTAACCCCTGTAGTACTGGGGGTGGGGGGAGCTGCCCATGGGTGTGCTCTGGGGAACAGGTGCAGTAGAAAGGGCTCTGCTGAGAGCAGGGCACAGGGACCTGGGCAGTGTTAGCCCTGGGCTGGGCTGGGCACGGGCTCAGCACCCGAGCTGGGGGTCCAGGGCCACGGGAGGGGCTGAGCCAACGCTCCCTGCTGAGCTGCTTGGCTTGGCAGCTGTGTGATGGTGCTCATCTATATTTAGCTCAGCCAGGGTTTTTCTGAGAACTGCAGAGCCAGGGGAGAGCTGTGAGGGTGTTTGCTCTGCTCTCTTTGCAGCCAGAATTGTTGTGCTCAGCAAACACTGACGACAACCCGTGTCTTACAGCTGTGGCACATTCACGGCGAGATGTTCCCTTTATTCCTGGAAGCATCTCCTGTGCTGAGGTGATATACATTTCCAAATGCTCTGCCTTCCAGGTGCAGATGCTTGTCCAATACATCACTGGTGTGCAGAGCCTTGCGTTTGAGGCCTTGGGCTTCCTGCTGACCGTGCTGGCCACCACTCTCACCCCGCTGTTCGTGCTGTCAGAGCACTGGGTGCACCTGCCCTGCGGCTGCATCATCAGCTGCACCAGGGACTCCTGCGCAGCCACTTCAGGTGATCCCAAAAGTAAGTGTGGAAGGGTTGTCTTGGTGTAACACAGGATGCCACAGCTTCCCTGGAACCTTCTAGAGCTCTGTTTTGCTCTGGGTCTCATGTAGAAAGAGCTGGACAAATGGAATGGGGCGGTTGGAAGGGGCCCACAGGGATCACCTGGTCTCAGCTGCAGAAGTTAAGGCTGAGTATTTCTGAGGATGTGGGAGTTGTTTCCCATTCTCTGGAGTGAAAGTCCTATAACATCAGTGGATGAATTCCTGACATCTGCTGCATGTTTAGGGAGAAGGAGGTCCTGAACCCCAGAGAGAAGCCATCCCCTGTGCATGGCTTTCTCTTGCTTTAACACAGTCCCCAGGTGCAGAACAGCTTGTGCTGCCACTGGTGCCCTTTGAGCCACTGCCCTGGACAGAGTGGCTGCAGTTCATCCACAAGGCAGTTTCTTTTTAGAAGTCTTTCTTCCCAACGGTTCATTCTGTTTATGGACAGAAAATGGGCTGTTTGTAGCAGTGGCTGGGTAATTTATTCCACATTCAGCAGGTTGTTTTCACTGTGTGTGTAATCTCATTTTTCTTCTGGGTCTTGACTCTTAATATGGTGTTTCCTCCCTTCCTGCTCAGCCAAACGTAGGGGTTTCGAGTTCAACCTGTCCTTCCAGCAAGGTTATGGAATCTACAGAATATCCCAGGAAAACCACCCCCACCTCCACAGTGATGGTCAGTCCACGTCCTACCACAGCCTGGTGGGCTCTGACTGCGAGGACCCCGAGCCTGGGAGAGGCAGTGGTGGTGCCCCTGGGCCCAGCCCCCCCTGCCCCCCGTCTGCAGGGCCCTGCAGGGCCGAGCAGGGCACACACTGCCATCCATCAACCATCCCTGAGGGCCCAGAGTGGAGCTTGTCCCACGAGGAGAGCCACACACCTGAGCTCACGGACTGGGAGTGGTGCAGGAGCAAATCCGAGAGGGCCCCTCGGCAGGTAAGATTGATTTCCTGTTCTTTTCTGTTAATAGGAGTTACTTTATAAAATCAGAATGGTTTTACTTACACTGACCTTTCTATTGGTCCTGTTGGCAGGGTAGTTGTAGTACAACTCTTACTTAGCATTGTGTGATGTTCAGTAACCACAGACCTATTTTCAGATGTTGATCCTGCAACAATTTCTCACTTGTATTCCTAATCTTGGAGTTTTCCAGTTACTGTTTTGTGTGCACCTGCACGATGTGTATATGGTAAGAGTTCAGTAGGAATGATGCTAATTCATCTTGGGGAATGGGAAGTTTCTCTCCAAAAGATGACATTTTCAAGGGTATTTCCAAGCATCTGGTGACTCTTTTCGGGTGGGGGAAAGGCAGAATCAAACCTGAATGTGCACTGTGGCACTCAGTGGACATTTGCCATTGCAGTGGGTGGGAGTGGGGTAAGAGCCTGTGTGAAGTCCACAAGACAAGAGCTTTGGGTTGGAAAGGACCTCTGGAAGTCACCTAATCCAGCCTCCTGCTCCAAGCAGGGTGACTTCAAGCTTGATCAGCTTGCTCTTGACTTTTGCACATGCATAGGTGAGGTGTATTTTACATCCCAGGAAGGGAAACCCTCTCCATGTGATGAACTCAAGTGTATCATCTGAGTTACAGTAGGAATGTGTCTGCTATTCCCATTTGACTGGCCATCCCTTTCATCAGAAGCTGGTGTTCACTCTGTTGCAGTGTGCAGAGATGAACTGCCACCTTGGGGGGCACAAGGCACAACTCAGCCTGGTTTTAATCTACCAGTTCTTGCTGAGGCCTCCTGTGCCATGTACAGTCTGGTTAATAAAGTCAGCACATCAATAGGTTCATAACTGTGGCTCTCCTTGCAGGAGTTTCCAGATGATGTTTAAACAAATAATAATAATTTCCCATCTCCTGTGGCTGCCAGGTCAGCTTGCAGCCCTGTGAGTCCCCTTGCAGCAGGCCTGAGCAGCTCTTTGTGCAGCACCCGGCAGCTGCTGCCTGGGGATGCTTTCTGTGTGTCCCTTTTGGACATCCCCTTCCCTACCTGCATTGCAGGGAATCACCTTTACCCTTGTCTGACCTCTCCCAAGGGGTAACCCAGGGTGCAGTTGACAGGCATTAAGGCTCCTGGGAGGTAAAAGTTCCAGGCTTTGGAGTTTCAGCTCTCCCTGGTTCTGTCAGTCAGCAGGAGCTACCAGAGCTTCCCAGCTGACATTTGCTTTGCTGCTGGGAAAGGGCAGGGTGTGAAACCCAGCAAGCCTTGTAAAACAACTATTGCATTGCTCAGGTGTGTGCTGAATGAAAGATCAGTTTGTGCCACACGTTAAATCATCTGTAAACCATCCCTAGTGCTGTGAGAGCAGTGGTTTGTATTGTGTTGTGTTCAGACCTTAGGGAAGCAGCAGGGAAGGTGCCTGTGAGTTTGGTTGGGCTGTTTGAAGAGCGGGGTGCCAGACAGTGCTTTGGTTTCTGGCTGAAGCCTTGGAGGGTGGCACTTCCTTGGGGTGGTGACACTCCTGTCACAGCTGGCTGTCTCACTGTCTGTTCTGTGAGTAGAGTTACTCCATCAAAGTGACTTCCCTGGGATGAAAGTGGCACGAGGGAGAGTGAGGCAGCAGGGTTTATTTAATAGCTGTGTAGAGTGGCTGTAATTGAGAGGGAGAGAGAAAATGGTACTTGTCATTTCTAACTCTCGCTCGGCTGCGTTTTTGAAAAAATGCCTTTAACACCTCATAAAATACCTGGGTACATCCCTTCCTAAGGAGATGGAGTGTAAATATGTCATGTCTTTTTTTGCCTGTACTCAAGTGCCTTCAGGCAACACAAATCTCCAGGCTGGCAGTATGTTCCAGGCTTGCTGGTGATGTTTTTTCTCTCTCACTCGATACCTCATGTGAGAGCTGCCTCAAGCAATCTCTTTGAAGAGGCTCTGTACAGAACCTCTTGATGTGCCCTGCAAGGAGAAGGAGGGGGAGGCTGTGGAAGTGACTGCTGTGAGGAGGAGAAGTTTGTTTGACATGATAAATACTCAGGATGTCCCTCAGTCCAGGAAAATTGTGACCATTCCAGTAAACATCAGGCACAGCACAGAAGCTCAGTTAGGAATGGCCCTGGATGTTCTCCTTGGTACCAGCACCTGATGGTCTGCTCTGCTGTTCCCATCGGGGCTCTTCCTGGAGGTGTGTTTGGAACCTGGTTCCTGGTTTCCAGGGAGGGTCCTGTGGTTGGAAAATCAGTGTAACATTTCCCCATCGTGTCCTGACTTTGCTCCCCGTGGGACAGAGGGGGGTGTGGTCCACGTGATGTGGGAGAACGGACCATCTCCAAACGAAATTGCTGTCCCTCTGTCCAAGGGGCCCTTGTGCATTGTTCCTAATGCCACTTCGTGGCCTGGGAGCTGCAGTTCAGCTGGGACACCTGCCCATAAACCATTCCAGGCCAGGCTGAGAGGGGCTAAAGGCCTGTCTGCATGGGCAGGCCCATGGCAAGTGCAGGGTTCAGGTCACCTGGGGTGAGCTTGTCTGTTCCTATCATAGCCTGTTGGCTCTGCATTTACTGCAGTCAGCCTCTGAAGAGGCAAATCATTGCAGTAATTAATTTCACTGCAGCTAATGTTAATTTTTAGGAAAGTGGAAGACTATTTGAAAACAAACAGAAAATTCATTGTCTCTGGAAAGGGACGTCAGGATCCTTACTGGAAACAGTCTAAAAACAGACCTTTTCAGCTGGAGCTGTATTTCACCAAGGTAATTAGGAATGCAAACTCCTTGGAGCTGTCTTCATCCTGCTGGACTGTCTGTCTGGGGAGGCAGAGTGGCCCAGTGGGGGTGACAGGAGACACAGCAAGCCCCGTGTCTGCTCTGGCTGCCGCTGGGCCCTTGCTCTGTCTGGGACCTCACAGCAGGCTCTGCTGCCTCCTCCAGAGGCACAGACTCCAGTGCCACCTGTGCTTTGCTCCAGCACTAATGTCACACCTGTCTCCTTATTCCAGGGCCTGTGATTTGTGAGACAATTGGGGATAGTGAGGGAAAGTCTGCAGAGGACCTTGTGCTTAAGTCCATCACCAGACACAGGCAGAACCAGCTGTGATGCCTCAGGATGTCCCACTTGGCCTCCAGCTGCTGCTCCAGGAGGCCCCATCAGTCCTCTGTTACATGTAAAGGGTTTCTGAGGACATCCTGAATCCTCTGTGGCATCTCTGATGGCACCACACAGCCCTGTCTGGGCAACAGCTTAGGGTGTGAGTCAGGGGCCAGCTCCTGCCTGGCTGCACTGGAGTGGCCTCCAAACAGATTTTCTTCTCCCCCCTCATCAGGTGGGCATTCCGGGCTGTTGGCATTTCCTCTCTTCCCCCAGCTGAGCTTTGGTTTCTGCACTGCCTCTCACCATTTCAGCAGCAGTTTATTACCTTTAAAATCAAACTGAGCTGGGAGCCACGGGAGCCACCAGCCAGGGCGTGTGGCTCTGCACAGTTTATTTCTGATTTCACTTGTTTCCAAGCATTAACCAGCTAAGGATCCACCTGGAACAGAGGGAATTTTCAGTCTGCTGTGTGTTGAAGATCCTTTCCTTCACCTCTCCTGGCTGAGAGTGAGTGAGGTCTCTGGAAGAAAAGTCTTCCCTCCCCAGGATCAGAACAAGGCTCCCTTGGCCCGGGATGTTGCCGTGGGTAGCACAGTGGTGTGGGATGGATGTGCCCCCCTGCTGTGGGTGTCCCTGTGCTGTGCTGCCAGTCCTGGGGGAACTCAGTGAGCCAACGACCCGATGCTGGAGCTGGAGGGAGAGTGGTTCAATTTATGTAGGATTATTGGTAATGATCTCTGTGTGTCTGGTCTGTGGCAAAACTGCTGAGACACAAAAGCTGCAGGATGGCACTTTGGTTGAAAAGACAGGGTTTGTTTTATTTCACAAAGCTCTTTGCCTTTGTGCCTGGTTCCTGCCTGCAGTGTGCAGGGCCCAGAGCCAGAGCACGGTGTTGGGGGGCACAGTTTGCAGGGAGAAGGGAATCCTCTGCTTTGGAAACAGGTGAAGGTGTCTGGGATTGAGCAATGTTCCTCCTGGAATTGTTCCAGCGGAAAATGATGGCATTCACTGCCGCCCTGGTCAGTGACTGCACAGTGACACGGAGGACTTGATGCATCTTTTTCACTTCTAACAGTAAATACTGATTTCTCACGAGAAAACAGACTTGTGGAAAGAGCCACTAAATCATTGGGAAATGTCTTATCCTGCAGACCTGGAGTGTTCGTGCCAGTGTGTGAGGACTGCTCATTCTCCCTGCAAGTGCCTCAGACATCCCCTCCATCTTCTGATGTTCAGCCTGACAAATCCACAGTGGTTCATTAAGCAGGACATAACCTGGCACTGAAGGAGGTGGCTTTTATTTCATATTCTGTCGATGTCCTATTGAGTCACAGTCCCTTGGGGCTTTTTATACTAAGGTGTATAACTTCTTTATGCTCTTTCAAGTGATAAGTACCAGGTATCTAAAGTTCTGCAGGGAAAAGGCAGTAAAATAAATTAACAAACTGAGCATAATTGGCTTATTTATAACAGATTCTGACTTGAAATGTGGCCCCAGATAACAATCCTGGTTTGTGTTCGCAGCGCTCGGGCGGGGCCCTGGCCATCCCTCTGTGTGCATTCCAGGGGACTGTGTCCCTGCAGGCCCCCACCGGCAAAACCCTGTCCTTGTCCACGTACGAGGTGAGCTCTGAGGGGCAGAGGATCACCCCCACGGCCAAGAAAATCGAGGTGTGTCGGTCCAAGAGCGTCGGGCACGAGCCCAGCCCGGAGGGGTCCCCTCACACGAACGTTAAGATTCACTTGGAGGTGCTGGAGATCTGCGACAACGAAGAGGCCCTGGACACCGTGTCCATCATCAGCAACATCAGCCAGTCCTCCACCCAGGCCAGGTCCCCCTCCCTGCGCTACTCCCGGCGGGAGAACAGGTTTGTGTCGTGCGAGCTGGGGGAAAGCGCCTCCTACTCCCTGTTCATCCCGTCCCACAGCCCCGGCAGCGACATCAGCATCTCCATCCCCGACACCGTGGAGGCCCATCGCAGCAGCAGCCAGCAGCACGCGGGCACGGGGCACCAGGAGGACATCCAGCTGCTGAACAAGGCCTACAGGGAGCGGGAGGGCCCGGGCAGCAGCGGCTGAGAGGGTGCAGTGTGTGCTGCTCCTCCTGCCTCAAGGTGCCCACGCAGGTACAGGGCCAGCGGGTGCTGCTTGATTCATTTGGGTGCACTCTTAAACCCATTCACACTGGTAATGCTCTGTCAAGGGGATAACGAATACTCAAGTGCTTTACAGCTTTGCATAGTGAATTTCAAGTTATTTATTTACATATCTATTTCTCTGAGGAACATACGTGTCTAGAGGGAATCCTAAATAAACTCTTACAGTCCAGCTTTGGTGTTTGTTGGCACTGGGTGCTGTGTCTGTGGGACCCTGAGGAAATGAGGGAGCAGCTCCTCAGCTAGGAAGTTACAGGAGTTTTGACTCACTTGCAGTTCTTTTCAGCATCTAAATCAAAAAAATCCTAAAAATATTTGAATTTTTGTTTTTTTTTAGAATGTGGGTTTTTCACAGTGTTGAGAAGGAGATGATGGAAACGCAGGAGATACGGGAATGGAGATGGAAATTGCTCTGGCAGCAAATGCCACTGGTTTCAAACGTGAGCAGTGCTCGGGTGTCCAGAGACATGTCACGGATTGTCACTGGAGCACACAGGATCAGACTGTCAAAATCACCCAAGTGACTCAGCACCAGGCACGTCTCTGTCCTGGACATCTAAATAACAGAGCCAGAGGTAATCACTGCCCCAGTTTAGAAGCACCTGCAGGCTAAAGGGGGTCAGGGAGACCAACTTGTCTATGTGTGGATGCATAAACCACCTTGTGAGGGGAAAGGAGAAAAGAAAATAGAAATTTCTAACTTGAGCACCTGGTTCTTCTCCCTTCACATGGTCAAGTGCTGGAGTGTTGGACTGACTGTCGTCAGCTGTGGGCAGAGAAAAAAGAGAGAATGGTTTTCCTTGGAAGAAGAAATCCTTCACCTGAATATTGAAAGTCAGTGTGAGATACTGTGTTTAGAGATCTGAATGCTGGAAATCCTGAAATGTGAGTAAATCACACCAACAAGGGAGAAAAGGCAAGAGAATATGTAAAGAAATTAAGCTGAAGAAGCATTTGTAGCTGCACAATGGTGTTCAGGGAAACAAAACATTATTTCACTGTTGAAAGTGTAGTAATAGTGATGTGAATAATTCTCCCTAATGTAAAAGGTTGAAGGTCCCACTCCGGAGAACCTGGGCATGGTATATCCTGTGCCCACTGTCAGTGGCACATCCTTGTCCCCAAGCTCCGGTGACCTCCCCCAGGTCTGAGATCGCTGAAACACGTCCAGCCCTAAACCTTAACAAGGCAATTCCGCCAGCAAGTCGTTTTGCTTAGAGCTTATTGGCTCTCTCTGTCGATTAGGCTTGAAAGTCCCCAAAGATCAAACATGAAAGAACATCTTTTCTTTAAAGCAATGTTCACGTACTCCCCCTTGTGCCGGGCGGGGGCTCGAACCCGCGTGTGTCCGTGTCCGGGACTCGAACCCGCGTGTGTCCGTGTCCGGGACTCGAACCCGCGTGTGTCCGTGTCCGGGACTCGAACCCGCGTCTCTCCGTGTCCGGGAGTCGAACCCGCGTCTCTCCGTGTCCGGGACTCGAACCCGCGTCTCTCCGTGTCCGGGACTCGAACCCGCGTCTCTCCGTGTCCGGGACTCGAACCCGCGTCTCCGAGGCTGCCGGGCGGAAGTGCGGCGCGGCCGGGGCGGGCGCTGCCGGCGGATGAGGCGGGGCCGGGCCGGGCCGCGCGGGGCTCTGTGGGCCGTGCCGGCTCCATCGGCTCCGTGGGCTCCCTCGGCCCTGTCGGCCCTCCTGTGCCGGGCCGGGCCGCCGCGGCCATGAGCTACGAGCACCGGCGGGACTGGGGCCGCGGGCGCGGCGGCGATGGCGGCTCGGGCTCCGGCGGCCCCTCGGCGGGCGGGCCCGGCGGGCGCGGCGGGCGCGGGCGGCACCCGAGCCACCTGAAGGGCCGCGAGATCGGGCTGTGGTACGCGCGGAAACAGGGCCAGAAGAGCCGCGACACCGACCGGCAGCAGGTGAGGGACGCGGGCACAGCGGGGACCGGGTGAGCTCTGAGGGGCGGCAGGCGGGCTGTGAGCTGGGACCGCGCCGCGGAGCCCCCCGGCTGCGGAGCGCCCGTGGCCTTAGCGGGGTGATTACTGACAGGCTGTGCTGATCCCACAGAGAGCTGTCGTGCGCATGGACGAGCGCAGGGAAGAGCAGATCGTGCAGCTCCTGAATTCCGTCCAGGCCAAGAACGACAAAGAGCAAGAATCCATGTCCTGGTGGTCCGGGGATGAGGACAGGTAAAGAGACATTAATTCTTTTCAACTTCCCACAGACTGGCAGGAAGATGTGTCGGAAGGAATTTACCTTGAGCGAGTGAGTTGACCTTAAGTTTGCCCCTCTGTGTTGTCACACTGAAATGGTTGTAGCCAGTGCTGTAAAACTCCCTTCCATCATTGCTGAGCTTCGGGTGTAACATTTCTGCTTAAAATAATAACATCCTGGAACTCATCTCAGGCCCTACCTAGGGTGCATATGTGGGATTTTTAAGCTCCCTTGGTCTCTGGAATAACTCTTCCAGAGGTAGCATTTGACTTCTGTTTTGAGTTACTGAGCAGTTTTGGAGTCTTCTCCTCTGTGGACAGAGTGTGTTCTGAACTCGCTGAGGATTTCAGGTAATGCAGAACTGGACAGGTCTGCTGAAATGAGGGTCTGGGGCAGTCATTTTGCTGAGGGATCCCATTACAGGGCACTGGACTAAGCAGTAATTTTCCAGAAATGTTTTTGTTGCTTTGTAGCTTTATTTGATACGAAAGAACACGTTACTTTTGTAGATGCCAATGTAAAGTTTTTAATGGCTCATAATTTGAGACTTTAATTGGTTCCAGGGTGTGCACCATGATGACAGATTGCCAAGAGAAGTCCTGGGAGTGTCCAAGGCCAGGTTGGACAGGGCTTGGAGCAACCTGGGCTGGTGGAAGGTGTCCCTGCCCATGGCAGGGGTGGCACTGATGGGCCTTAAGGTCCCTTCCACCCCTAACCATTCTGTGATTCTCTGTTCCTATGGGCTGGTGGTTCATTGACTGATGGATGAAGTGTCTCCAGCCCAAGTTCATGTGTTCCTGGAGTGCTCCCTGCACCCTGCACGTGGCCAGGCACAGCTGGGATGTGTTTCTGTCCTCTGAGGTTTCTGTCCTCTGATTGCAGCCCTACAGAACAGCCTGTGAAAGTGAAACCAGATGCTGAAAAAGCTCCTGTAAGACGGAGACCGGCCTTGGAAAAAACATCCCTGGACCGGGATGTGGAATATCTCTTTGAAAAAAATGAGCAGGATACTGATTTAGATGAGCAGCTGAAAGAAGACTTAAAGAAGAAGAGATCTGATCCCAGATATGTTGAAATGCAGGTACTTTTCATTGGATTTTTTTCTTTCAGTTAAACTGACCTGAAAACGTACTTGCTTGCAGTTTATTTACTAGGAAGTTGACACGATTGTTACTAAGTTTAATGAAACTGAAAACACATGGGGAATAAAGTTATTTCCTGTAGGCCTGGGTTTATATAAGTATTGCTGAGCAGTTTGTCATTATTTGTCAGTATAGATAGAATCTGTTACATTGCTTCAGTTAAAGAGGTGTTTAAAGATACTGTTATTTTCTGTTCCCCAGAGGTTCCGAGAGAAGCTCCCCTCCTATGGCATGAGAGAGGTAGGTGTGTGTTTAACTGCAGAGAGTGTGTGTTTCTGCTGCTGTTTGTACAGTACAGCCAGTCCTGCTGGCTCTGACTGCCATTAGCGTCCCAGTCACGGGATAACATCAGTGCCAGTACGGGCTGTTCCTAACTGGTATTAATTCTTCATTTGATGCCCCTTGTGTGAAACAGAAAGTGAGTATTCCAATAGGTTTGCTTTTGCAGGTTCAGTGAATGATTAGTGAGCTTTTTCCTGAAATTCATCCCTTTGCCATAATGTCCTTTCTGTTAGTGTTTGTTTCCTAAAATTGTCATAATCCCTTTGACAATCCTTGGGTTTGGGAGGTACGGGCTGGGAAGATCTTCCTGGTGGTAAAAGAAATCAGGTGGTTAAAATACTGTGCTACAAACCTTCAGTTCGTGCAGTCTTGGGGGTCAGCAGGGTAAATGCTGGTTTTCAGTCCCCAGAGATGTGCAGGAGCAAGCAGGAGGCAGAAAACTTGAAAGTGTATTTCAGGTTTTCTTTTCAGTCCTTTCACGCTGATTTCATACAGAATTTAAAGATTTAAGGCCAGTGTTCAGGTGGGATGTGCTTTAAACCCTCCATGTGGAAAGTGCACGTGAGCACCTCCCGTGAGGTTTAAACTGAACTTCAGTTGCGGTGTGGTGACCAACAGCTGAGTGTTTCTCCAGCTGCAGTGACCCTCCTCAAGGGTCGCTGCCTGGCAGCAGAGAATGTCCAAACCCTCTAAAACCTGGCTGGAACAATAACTCTGTAAACTGTTCTCTGTGGAACCAGGAGCTCGTGAACCTGATCAACAACAACCGCGTGACTGTGATCAGTGGGGAGACCGGCTGTGGGAAGACCACCCAGGTGACCCAGTTCATCCTGGACGACCACATCGAGCGAGGGAAGGGCTCCACGTGCAGGATCGTCTGCACCCAGCCCAGGAGGATCAGTGCCATCTCCGTGAGTGCCCTCTGCAAACCCACCTCCTGGGGGTGTTTCTCCCCATGAATCCGAGCTTTTTTTGTGTTCCGTTTCCATTGTCTGGGGTTCTGTTGGCAAGTCACAATGTTGTCCACGTGCACTGATTCGATATTTCACAACTTTTGGTTGTGGATTTGAGTGCTGGCACTGCAGGCTCGTTCTCAGAGCTTAGCCATGAGTTAGATCTGGGATTTTAATGGATTTTGCAGTGCAAATGTGAATTATGTTAAAAACTAATGCTGTGTCAGGCCCTCTAGAGGTGGATTAATGAGCAGGAGAGAATTCAGCTTTCAGGTGCTCCGTAATGACTCCTCTTGCTGGTTCAGTATCAAGTGATGAGAGACCTTTGCATTACCCCGAGGGAAAGCTCACCCTGCTGAAGGGGAGTGTGGTTGTGTTCCTCTGAAGTCTGTCCTGGGACACAAACCTGCCCATGGCTTGCTGACGGGAGACACTTTCTCAAGGGAGGAGAACAAGTGGTTGTCAGGCCATTTCTTTGTTATTTACAGAACTTCTCCGTTCCGGGCATTTCCTGCTGATGAGTAGCTCAATCACAGATCGGCCTGTGGGATTTTTAAAGGTTTCTTTGTTCTCCTCAGGTGGCTGAGAGGGTGGCTGCTGAGAGGGCAGAGGCCTGTGGCAGTGGCAAGAGCACGGGCTACCAGATCCGCCTGCAGAGGTGAGCGGCTCCGGGCACGGTGCTGCTGCTGGGGGAAGCACCAGCTGGTGTTACACAGAGGACACAGTTTGAAAGGCAGTCCTTAAGTAGCTGCTCTCCTGCTGATATTTTCTCCTGAAGGAATTCCTGTGATACGAGGTTTCTCACTTTTAGCAAGGAGTTTGAGTGCAGTTGCTGTGTTTTATGCAGTGTGTGACAGTGACCAGCACCAAGTTGTGCTTTGTCTAGTAGGCCCTTTTCCCAGATCTTCTAAAAGGTTCTGCTGTTGGTAGAACTAAAAGTAATGTCCCTAATCCACGAATTGCAAGGAAAAATAGAAATCCTAAAGGAGAGAACGGTCTGAGCCATATTTCTGTGGAAAACTCTGTATTTGCTACACTTACCTGTGGACTAATCCCCTGGGATCATGTCATAGATGCACTGACAGAGGTTCACGGAGCAAAAGCTCTTACATTTGGAGTTAGCTGTAGTTTTAAAAAGCATCTGAAAGGATGCCAGCCAGTAATGGAACCTTTGTTGTTGAAACACAACTGCTCAGCCCTACCAGCGTTTCAGCTGGAGTTTATGGAGTCTCCCTGCTGTTTGTCTTTACTGCTCAGTGAGGGCTGTCCCACTGGGGCCTGAGTGCCCTGAGTGCTGAGCCTGGGGAGCTGCAGCACTGGGCTCAGCCCTGCAGTGTGCAGGGGATGATGATAAAGGATTCCTGGGCAGTCAGGACCTGTCGGATCCCTGGGCCATTCCCCTTCCCCAGGGGGTGCAGCTGGGGCCTGATCCCCTGTTCCTCACCTGAGCTGGGAGCCAGTGAGGCACCTTCAGCACGGCTGTACTGGCACCTGCACCTGGATCTCGAGCTGGTAAAGGATTTTGTAAAGTACAGAAGAGAATGAGGAATTCTTGCTGTGTCTCTTGCAGTCGGTTGCCCAGGAAACAAGGCTCGATTTTGTACTGTACCACGGGAATTGTCCTGCAGTGGCTCCAGTCAGATAAGTAAGTGTCCCTGTTTAGTGGAATGCAGTGATGGGAGGAGGCCAGACTCTCTTTTCATTCTGCTAAAAACAAGCGTTTAAATTCCTCCTCTTCTATTTTAGGCACTTGTCCAGCATCAGTCACATAGTCCTTGATGAAATCCATGAAAGAAATCTTCAGTCAGATGTTTTAATGAGCATTATTAAAGATCTCCTAAATATTCGACTGGATTTGAAAGTCATACTCATGAGTGCTACTCTAAATGCAGAGAAGTTTTCTGAGTACTTTGGTAGGTGAAATGCTTCCTAAGAATGTTCCTCTGGAGTAATTTAAGCTTCTACAGTAAAATGCAGTTCTCAAATTATAGACTTGATTTTTATCAAAAGAGGAAATTACTTCCGTTTTCCAAAGAGTTGGCAGCTGCTGGAGATGCTGATTCTCTGTTTTATCTCATTGTGAGCATGTATTGCTTCTGCTTTTGCTTTTCAGACATGCTATGGAAGTAGAATCCTCAGAGTATTTTCCTATTAAATATTTACTCATATTTACCACATTTCAGAACTCTTGGTGTGAGTGGGCAACCATATTGAACTGTCAATTGTTCAGTCTCCAGCTTTATCCTGCGGCTGGGACCAGGGGAATGTGCTGGTGTGCAATACATTGCTTGCTGCCTGTGCTTCTTAACTCCACAGCTTTACTTGGGGGTGAATTTGGCATATTCCATGGGAATTTGAAAATAAACAGTTAGGAAAACCACACAAACATGGCAGCTATATTGCAGAATTAGGGAAGAATTTATTGCCTCTATTCAGTGCAGTGTTTCATTGGTGGTTTTATACCTGAGTTTTGCCTTCCCCCACAGATCATTGTCCAATGATTCACATCCCTGGGTTCACTTTCCCGGTGGTGGAATATCTGCTGGAAGACGTCATTGAGAAGTTGAGGTAAGTGGGTTGTCTGAACATCATTTCAGAGAGTATTTGGGGGGGTGGTTTTGGCTTAGCATGTATGTTCAGAGACTAACTTGGAATAAAAAAGAATTGCCTGTACTTTTGAACAGAAAACCTTCCAAGGGAGGTCTCATAGCTGGTACAGTAATTACAGATGGCACATGGAAATGTTGGCTTGGGGGGGGAAACAGCTTTTTCTGTCTTTTGGAGCGGTGGATTTCAGGCCTCTAAGTCAAGCTTGTCTCTGTGGCCGTTGAGACTCTTTCTGTGCATGTTCCCATATTAGCTGGGGTTTGGGGCCTGTTTCTGTCCGAGAAGAAGCTGCAGAGCCTGCCCCTCGTGGTGCACCTGCAGCAGGAGGTTGGGCAGCTGCAGGGCCCTCAGTCGCCCCGTGTGTCACCCCGTGTGTCCCTTGGTGTGTCACCCCGTGTGTCACCCCCCACTCCCCGCAGGTACAGCCCCGAGGGCACGGAGCGGCGGCCGCGCTGGAAGAGGGGTTTCCTGCAGGGCCACGTGAGCCGGCCCGACAAGGAGGAGAAGGAGGAGATCTACCGCGAACGATGGCCCGAGTACCTGCGGCAGCTCCGGGGCAGGTGGGCCCAGGGGCTCCTGTGCTTTGTCAGACCGTGCATTGGTGCTGTGCTCTGTTGCTGGGCTTTAATGATGGTGGGGGAGCTGCTGCTGTGGGAAACCAGCATGGAACTCCTGGCCACCAGGGAAGTGCTTTTGAGGTACCAGAATCAGCTCCCATTGCCTGTGCAGACTGTAAGAGTTCAGGTTAAATTTAAATCCATTACCTGAATGCAGAGTGTCAGTCCCTGGCCAATCCAGGAGGAGGAGGAGACAGATCATCAAAGTGCTTCAAAGGCGGTTCAGTCATGACATGGCAGTTCTTAAACTTACTGTTCTGAACTGACCATAATCACACTGAACTAAATGTAGAAGGGCAGGAACTGATCAAAGAACCGAACTGATCAGAGGTGGGTTAATGGCTGTGTGACTCAGACCTGACAGGTTACCAGTGCCTGTGCTTTCACTGCCTGCAGGTACTCAGCAAGCACTATTGATGCCCTGGAAATGATGGATGATGACAAGGTGGACCTTGACCTCATAGCAGCTCTGATCAGACACATCGTGCTGGAAGAGGAGGTACAGCCCTGCCACTGCCACCACTGGGGGTGGGACTGGGCTGGGGCCTGGGGCTCTTGGAGTGTCAGAGCCAGGGGTTGCTTTGGCTCATCACACACAGAGAAAGGAGAGACATTTTTTGGTTTGCTCTCCTGAGAGGCAGTTGAACAGCTTTAAATATCTAACGACTTCCTAAGCCCTGAGGTTCGTTCCGTGTTCATTGATGTGGTGGTTTTTGTTCTTTCTGTGTTGAAAATTACACAGCAGTTCTCTCTTGCAGCTTAAATTCTAGTGTTGACATGGCTGTGTTTAAAACACTGCAGGGGAAAACATTTAAAATCAAGTTTTTACTTTTTACGTTCAGATAAATACATGTAGTTGGCTGTTTTATAGAAAAAAAAGGTTAAACAGTTCCAATTCGGAGTCAGTGAGGTTTGAGATCTCCCAGGTCCTACAGGTGTGTCAGTGTGCAGGTAGCTGGCTCTCTGCACAGTCTATGATGTATTGTGATCTCTTTGCTGCCTCTTTTCCCTGTAGGACGGTGCAATTCTGGTGTTTCTTCCGGGCTGGGACAACATCAGCACTTTGCACGATCTCTTGATGTCACAGGTCATGTTTAAGTCAGGTAAAACCAGACTTTGGCATGGGAATTGTTGCAGTAGCATTAGTGGCAGACTGGTTTTGCATGGAATTGCTGCTATTGCAGCGGATTCATTGTTTTCCTCATCTCTCCTCAAAATAATTGCAGCGTTCAGCAGTTTTCGTGTTTCTGGGGTATCTTTCATCTGCTAATGACAACAGCTCGTTTTCCTCAGTGTGGCAATCTGAAAACCAACCTGACCTGCATCTTCTTCCTGCTGCTCTTTCCTGTAGCTGTGAGAAGCCCCATCCCAAACCAGACTCCATCCTCTGGGCGTTTCCTCTTTGCTTGGTTCTGGAGCAGCTTCCCCCTCTGCTTTGCTGAGAGTTCCCCTAAATGCTGCTTATCTGGGCTTTGCTGGGGACACCAGAATATCTGTGCCTGTCTGATACACCTTCACTTGTCCTTTGGCATATCTCATCCTTCCATCTAACCTCCCTTAGCTGAGCTCTTCACCATTCACGTGTTGCCTTGCAGTATGTGTTGTGTGCCTTCCATAGATACAGAATTTCAGTTTATTGGAAGGTTGTGTTGGGTTTGGGTATTAGACTTGAGCAATTATTGAATAATTTGAGAGCTTAAAAATAAATTACTGTACTTAACTTTACATATTTTATTAAACTTGTCATCATAGCATCATAAAAAAGTTCTTTGTACCTTTTTACTTTAGAATTTGCCATTAAGATACAAATATCTGTGAACTCAGAGCAAGAAACAGTGGCCTGACTTGCAGCCTGTTTTCTCTATTTTGCATGATTGATTTTCCTGTGAAGTTAAAGTTTCTGTGCTTACACCATATCTTTTACTGATTTTTAACTTCCAGATAGGTTTATTATCATACCTTTGCATTCACTGATGCCTACTGTTAACCAGACTCAGGTATGCTGCTCTTTTATTGTGATACTTCACAACTGCAAAAACAATGAATGAAGCGCATGTGTGGTTTTGGCAAACATATAAACGGGCCCTGGCTGATTGCAGGTGTTTAAGAAGACCCCACCAGGAGTAAGGAAAATCGTGATTGCAACCAACATTGCAGAGACCAGGTAAATACCTGGCTGTACACACCCAGAAAAGCTGTATGTTTGACAAAACAAGCGAAAGTGGTAGTTCAAATTCTAAATCTGTTTGGTGTTTCCAAAAATACATGTTCCTACGTTTGTGCCGTTCATTTACAACATAGCTTTAGAAATGTTTATAGACTAAACAGAGTTTTCCTATAATTGTCCTAAACAGACCAGTTCGTTTGTTCTGAACAATTAAGCTCTAGGAATACTAAACAATTACTGTAATGACTTGCCTTTTGACATGATAATCTGAGCTTCTCATCCTCTGTGCACCTTCAGGACCCGTGAGGGGGCTCCTGCCAGACCCAGGAGAATAAATCAGCCCTGTCTTGAACTCTAGGGACGCAGTTCTTAATGAGATTCCCAACACAGAGTTTTTAATTGCTTGTTCACAACTGGGGAAGGGACAAAGAGAAGCCAAACCCCTGTCCAGTGCTAGGTCAGGCTTGCAGAGATGAAGAGTTGAATTCTTCCTGTTTTTGTCCAACAGCATCACAATCGATGACGTCGTGTTTGTTATAGATGGGGGGAAGATAAAGGAGACCCACTTTGACACGCAGAACAACATCAGCACGATGGCAGCAGAGTGGGTGAGCAAAGCCAACGCCAAGCAGAGGAAGGGCCGGGCAGGAAGGTAAGAACAGTGGGGAGGGGGAGGAAGGTTTGGGCTGGGCAGGTTTCCATCAGTCCTGGAGCACATGCTGGAGCTTCTGCTGTGTTACTGCCGTGCCCAGCAGCAGGTGCAGGCACAGCTGCCTCCTGGGAGGAGCAAGGAATGGTTCCCTTGTCCTTCCAGGAAGCTGAAGTGACCTGTGCTGCATTTAACTCCAGAGTTTCTCCCCTACAGAAGAATAAGTCCCATATTTTATTTTCATTTTTGTTGGAACTGTTTGCCTTCACACTTGATTTATGAGGCTGATCCATTAAAGTGAAAATGGCCTAAAAATTAATTTCTGTGCTCTCCATGCCTTTTCCCTGCTGATGGGTCTGTGTTTCAGAAGGCTGAAATGGCTTTTACAATTGGATACACTTCAGTTCTAACTCCTTTGGGTGTTTTGTCAAGCTGTTTGTAAACAAACACAATCATAATGTCACAGTTTCATAGAAAAAAAACCAAAAAACAAATCAAAGCTCTTGTTTGTTGAAATCACTGCAGAGTTCAGCCAGGCCACTGTTACCATCTGTACAACGGGCTGCGTGCCAGCCTTCTGGATGATTATCAGTTACCAGAGATCCTGAGGACGCCTTTGGAGGAACTCTGCTTACAAATCAAGGTAAACAGGAATCTGCAAATGTATTTATAATCTACTTTTCCATTGGAATAAGAGGTTGAGAGAATAAGTTAATGCAACTGAGAGCCTAAGGCTGTCAGGTGGAGTTTGCTACACCAGAAATGCAGTATATTTAGCCAGTAATTGCAGCACCTTCTGGAAAAGCACTCTTGTACCTGGGTGCATCAAACCCAGGGGAACAGGGTTGTCTGGTATCAACAAACAGAGTTTAGACTGTGCTTTCCCCCAAATCTCATTCCGTCAGAGCCATTCAGTGAGAATGCCTGTGAGTCAGGGGTGTGATATCCGAAAAGAATTTTATTACAAAGTGGTTTTAGAACTGACATGAGCTTCCCTTCTTGGCAGTTTGTATTGAATTCCTCATGCAGGCAGAAGAGGTGCCATGTGTATGTGAGCTGAATGAAGAATTCACATTTCATCATTAATACATTTCTGCCCTTAGTTCTTAATTAAAGAAATTCTAACTCGAGCTGTGAATTAGTCACACTATTTCAGTTCAGAGGTTACTGCTGGCTGGTTACTGCAGCCATCTTTCTCTGGTTGCTGTAGGCTTTTGTTGTGTTTTTCCTTTCAGATCCTGAAGCTTGGTGGAATCGCCTATTTCCTGAGCAAACTAATGGACCCGCCGTCTCGTGACGCTGTCACGCTGGCCATAAACCATCTCATGGAGCTGGTAAGGTGTTGCTCCTGTGGGAGGAATGAGCTGTGTGGAACTGTGTTGTGTGAATATTAGCAGACAGGGGTGGCTGCACAGGTCTGGACACTGCAGCCCTTCCTTTTGTGTGGAGCCTTGGCCTGTGCTCCCTGCCCAGAGGGAGTGCATCACAGAACCCGTGAGGGCTGCACGTTGTTCTGGGCACTCCCTAAATGACTGACACGTGGGCCCTGCATTTCAGTTCCCTGCAGACACTGCTTTACCTCTCTGCTCTGCATCCCTCTGCATCCCCTGCACCCCCCTGCATCCCCCTGCATCCCCTGCATCCCCTGCATCCCCTGCATCCCCCTGCATCCCCCTGCATCCGCCTGCATCCCCTGCATCCCCCAGCCCCCTGTCCCAGCTGCAGCAGGGACGAGCCCGAGGGCATTTTTCTGTGGGCAGATGAGGTGTGTGGGAGAAAGGTATTGCATGTCATTGTCCCTCCGGGTGCTGGAGAAGGAGAGATCGATGACGCGTTTGTTCTGCTGACTCCTTGCCCTGGTCTTATTTGCACAAATGAGTTGTAGCCATAAATTTAGACACTAGTGGGTGATACGAGTGTGCTAGTGGCTCTTCCAAGGAAACCCTCCCCATTTCACATGGTGTGTTTGTTCTTTCCTTTCTCCCCTCTCCTGACAGAATGCTCTGGACAGGCAGGAGGAGCTGACTCCCCTGGGTGTCCATCTTGCACGGCTGCCAGTGGAGCCGCACATTGGGAAGATGATCCTCTTTGGAGCCCTGTTCTGCTGCCTGGACCCCGTGCTCACCATTGCAGCCAGCCTCAGCTTCAAGGACCCCTTTGTCATCCCTCTGGTAAAGGGCAATTACAAGGGGTGGGGCTTACTGAAATGCTGTAGTTTAAGAGCACTTTAATCTGATTTTCATGTTAATTACATTTTTATTAGTAAGACTGCCATCACATACTACAAATTAATGCCTTTGCCTGCAGATTATTGAAGTAGCTGTAATTTTCATACCGGTTGCATATGAAGTATTGCTGTATGGATGTGGCTTAATTAGGAAAAGAGAACTGTTGTGTCAGGCTGGATGTTTTATAGGTTCTCATTTTTAGGGCAAAGAGAAAGTCGCAGATGCAAGAAGAAAGGAGCTGTCAAAGAACACGAAAAGCGACCACCTGACTGTGGTGAATGCTTTCACTGTAAGCACATTTTAATGTTGTTTTTCTTTTTTTTTTCCCAGAATTTTAATTTGGCTAATATAGTTGATCCTAAGGAAAAAGTTTGTGCTCTGTAGGATTTCTTACTTGGCTTCTACAGAAACATAAAACCAAACTGATGTTCACCCTTCTAGTGTTGAGGAATCTTTTCTCCAGGCTCAATCACCTGATTTGTGGTGGATAAGTCTGTGAAAGAGACAAAGAAAACTTAATGTTATAGTTGCTGAAATTGTTCATTCCTGTCCTTCTGGCCTCTATGAGAGGCCAAAGCTGACTTTAGAAGTGTTAGAGATGGAGCTGTGTTTTGTTGGGGTGAGAAAAGGAGGAAATAAATGGCCTGGAAGATGCAGTTTCTACCCAGGACTGTTCATAACAACAAATGATGCTCTGGCAAATGTAGCCAGATTTCAGTGCTCCCCATGACATTTTTGATTCAACACATGAAGTTGTGTTTTTCTGCTCTGTGCTGTGCACACATCAACAAAGAGATCCAAAGATTTACTTCCTCTCTTGTAGGGAAGGATGTAACTGCTGTGTCTGTTCACCTCCAGTTTTTGCTGGCCCTAATTTTTCGTGTGTTTCACTTACAAACACTTTCCACATGTTTTAATTTCTAGGGCTGGGAAGAGACCCGGCGTCGTGGCTTCAGGACGGAGAAAGACTATTGCTGGGAATATTTCCTGTCCTCCAACACCCTGCAGGTAACACCAGCTGGCAGGACAGTGGCTGTGGGGACGAGCAGGGCTTTGCTCAGCATCGCTCTGGGCCGTGTCTGTTGTCTCCCAGATGCTGCACAACATGAAAGGGCAGTTTGCTGAGCACCTCCTGGCAGCGGGCTTTGTGAGCAGCAGAGACCCCAAGGATCCCAAATCGAACACCAACTCGGGTAACTGTGGAGGGACGTGGACCTTCCTGAGGGCTGGAACCCCCGCCTGCACAACTGCCTGACTGACTTCCCTGTCCCCCACAGATAACGAGAAGCTGCTCAAAGCTGTCATCTGTGCTGGCCTCTATCCCAAAGTGGCAAAGATCCGGCCCAGCTTCAGCAAAAAGAGAAAAATGTGAGGGCTTGTTTTACTGTTGGTGTGTGCAGGGGGTGGTTTGGGAAGGTGAAGCAGTGGCTCGAGTTCAGGAACAAGTGGCACTTCCCAGCTCAAGTCATGCTTGGGGGTTACCTCCCTTGAGAAGGGCGGGTGAGAGCGTGGGCTTGCTGATCTCTTAACATTTAATTTAGATACCTGCTAGGGTTGGAATAATTTGTGTGACCTCGTTACGCCACAGATGATGTTCCAGTGTATCAGTAGCACTGCTCCAAAGGGCTCTGCCCTCATCAGTGTTCTGCAGCAGCAGTTCAGACACTGACATTTCTGGTTATTTGGCAAGACAGCACAGAAATCCTGGTCTGTTGATTTATCACTTCTTATATTATCAGCCTTTTTTCTTCCTCTGAAGGGTGAAAGTTTGCACCAAGACAGATGGCTCAGTTAATATTCATCCCAAATCCGTTAATGTGGAGGAAACCGAGTTCCATTACAACTGGCTCGTGTACCATCTGAAGATGAGGACCAGCAGTGTAAGTGATGTTTGCATGGGTTAGTTTTGTATCCCTTTTTAAAGGAAGTTGGATCAGGGTTCAGAGGGGATGTGAACAGCCTTTGTTCTGGAGCCTTCCTGTCCTGGGCCATTTCCTTTACAGCCCATCAGATTATGTTCTTCGTGATATGGGTTATTGTGCCACAAGTAACTAACTTCCAGGGTTTAGTGGTTGGGGTTTTTTTTGGAGGACTTGTGTTTTTTTTTAAAGTTCTGGCAATAACATGTATAAACTTTATTTGAATTTATTTTTTTTTATTTCAATCCAGTCTAACACTTATCAATGCACTGAAAGATTCTTCCTCCCCCCCCCCATTGTTATGGAGCAGGTGGTTTGATTTCACCACTGTGTGAAGGGCTGTATTTGGGACCATTTTTGCTCCTGTTTAATCTGATTTTGTGTAAATTTTTTTGAACTGAGTTGCTTCATACATCTTGCAAATTTGGGATTGGCTGAATCATGATCTTCTGGAATTGTGTAGGAGTCTCATTAAGAGTTACTGATGGCCCTTAGGATGTTTTGAGGGTGATCAGCCAGCTTTGCTGTCGTGCAGATTTACCTGTATGATTGTACAGAGGTGTCTCCGTACTGCCTGCTGTTCTTCGGAGGGGATATATCCATTCAGAAGGATAAGGACCAGGACACCATCGCTGTGGATGAGTGGATTGTTTTCCAGTCTCCAGCGAGAATAGCACACTTGGTGAAGGTGAATATGTTTAATAATAAAAATGTACGTGGGAGGCTCAGTAACACTGATGCCTGGGAATTTCTGGATTTGATATCACTGTGCCTGTGGATTCGTCACTCAGGGAGATAATGGCTGAAATGCATTCCCAGCGAGCAACGCAACTACACAAAGGAAACAGAAGAGAGAACTTTTCCACAGCAGAAGCTGGAGAATGACTTGGCCATTCCATGACATGTCCACATGGATATGGAAACATGAGGATGGGGCTCTTCAGCTAGCAGGAATAAGTTCTAATAGAGCTGTTTAATATTAGAGGCCAGGAATCATACCTGACTTTTTTTTTTTTAAATTTTATTTAATTTTAGTTTTTTAAAACTGGTTATTTTTAATCTTGAAATAGTCAGCTAATAGATGTGTGGGCTGAGATGGGCATCTACCATCAAAGGTAATGCTGCAGGTTTGTGAGAGACAGTGTTTGATCCCAGCAGGAGCAATGTGGAAATGAATGGTTGTGAGAAGAGCAGGTGTGAAGGCCAGGAGAACCCAGGGACTGGAACTCCTGTGGTAATGCTGTGTTAATCGCCTGTCCCTCTCCTTTTTTTTTCCTTCCACAACAAACACTTTCCAGAATTTAAGACAAGAACTCGATGATCTTCTCCAAGAAAAAATAGAGAAGCCTCACCCCGTGGACTGGGACGACAGGACGTGCAGGGACACGGCGGTGCTGACGGCGATCATAGACTTGATCACCACGCAGGAGAACGAGGGGCTCCGCAACTACGCCCCGCGCTTCCAGGGCGAGCGCTGCAGCTGACCCGCAGTGCTCACACGGCACGGGGCACAGGGGAAACCCCTCGGGGTAAGCTGGCACATCCCCCAGAGCAGTGATTCCCATCGGGGGCAGTGTCTGTATGTGCATGTGTTCTGTGTCCAGGGGGGCTTCTGAAGGGACAGAAGGGCAGTGTTGGGTCATGGATGGTTCTTGTCCTGCTGTAGCTGGTTTTGTTGGGGTTTTACCCACCAGGTAAGAGATATTTGAGATATTTGAAAAGCCTGCTAAAATACTGCTTAGTAATACCCAAACTGCTCTTGCTACCAGGAGAAACATCCAGAAGACCTTTTTTTTTTTTTTTTTTTTAATTGGGGGTAGTGAGCAATTACACTGGCTGTGTTATTCCAGCTGTGCAGCAGTCTGCTCACCAGCACTTCCACAGAAGGTAATTACAGCTTAATTAATCTAAAATTGAAAACACTTGTTTAATTTGTACTGTGGGAGGAAATCTTCAGAAATATTCTCTTCTTCTGCCTTTCATCCCATTCAATTAATCTTTATTCACTTTCTGTCCCCATCCAACATCACTAGTGACAGAAATTGCAGCTTACAGGAAGTATGGGTAGATAAAAGGCACGGTGGAATATGCTTTAAGGTTCGTTGCATTCAAATTTTTTGTTCTTTTTTTTTTTTTTTTTTTTTTTTTTTTTTTTTTTTTTTTTTTTTTTTTTTTTTTTTTTTTTTTTTTGAAGTCCATGTATGGGTTATATTATTACATTAAAAGTTTTTTCTTTAAAGTGCTATTTCATCTGTTCTCAATGTTCTGAATGTCATTCTGTTTTGAATGATTTCCAGCTATGGAAGAACATTTGAATAACAAAGCTTGTTTAGGATTCGAGGTTTATCCTCAAGAAATGAAGCTCTTGTGTCTCCTTTTATTTGCCTGGAAATACAACTCTTCTCTCTTCTTTGGGTTTTGGGATCTTTTTCTGTGCAAAAATGACTTTGGATCATCAAGCTTGGGAGGATTTATGGGCTTTATTGAAGAAAACACGGATCAGGTGAAATTAATTTTTTTTTTTTAATAGAAATAAGTCAAAGTTAGTGACCAGAAGGTGCTTTCCATTGGGTTAACGAGGGATGGGGGATGTCAGGCTCATTGCTTCCCCCCACAGCTGAAAACAATATATAGTTTAGCCTCCAACTGCCAACGGTTTTATCCACAGGTGTTTTAGATAATGAAGGGAGGGGGAAGAACATCCTGCCCTGGGGGTTCTGAGGGCAGGAGGGACTTGGAGGGAGAAGCAGCATCGGTGGCTGCAGGGAGTGAGGGAGAACTGTGAGAGATCCCTGCTGTGAGAGCCGTGAGAGCCATGGAAGATCCCAGTGGTGAGAGCTGTGGGAGCTGTGGAAGATCCCGGCAGTGAGAGCTGTGGGAGCTGTGGAAGAGTCGGGCGTGGGAGCTGTGGAAGGTCCCGGCTGTGTGAGGGGGGTGCGGGAGACAGGCCGCTCTGAGGGGCGAGGAACCATGGTGCTGCTGGAGGTGAGCCCCGGGATCAAAGCAGGGGGAAATAGGGGTTAAATTACTGATAACTGTGTGGAAAAGGGAGTGGAGTACATTCCAGTGTGTGATTTTGGTGCTGGGGACAAGGGCCGTCGTGCCGGGGAGGAGGGACAAGATGGCGGCGCGGGGAAGGAGGAGGGCACAAAATGGCGCCGGCGCTGAGGGGCAGTGGGTGTACCGGGGTGCCCAGAGTGGGGTGCGAGTGTGGGCAGGAGCTACAGCACAGCAGAGGGGGCTGGTCCCATTGCAGACTGGATTTATTGATGCAAGAGTGGTGATAATGCTGTTGCTGGCAGTGCTGGATTAAAAGTCATGAAAGTACAGGCTGGCACATGGTACCTGCTTTATTCTCCTTGTCTCTGGTTTTTGCAGTACTTAAATGATGGCTGTTTTTAACTGATAACACAAAGAGCAAGAGGAAATGGCAGCAGAAGCAGAGCCTGGGTGAGAAGGGCAGTGTTGGTTGAAGTTGGAATGATGTTTGGAATGATCGGGACCACCCTGAGGGAACACCCGAGGGGTCACAGGCCGGGATGTTGGATCTGTCCTTAAAAAGTGACTCATGTCTAAATTATGGCACTGACTGTGCCTTCTCACTAGGCTTGAAACATGTAGCTTAACATACTTTTAGAAGTGGAAAGGTACCAGAAGCCTCTGTTCTTCAGAGTTTGAGCCTGTTCCAAATGCCAGGTGAGCTGCTTTGTGCTGGGATAGTTTTCCTCACTAGTCTGTCTGGTGCTGTGTTTGGGTTTGTGATGTAAAGACCGTTATTCCAGGGGTGAAGTTTTGATAAAAATCATTTGCAGATAAATCCTTGGATTTCTTCCATCTTGGTGTCAAAATTTATTCTAGATTTATTTCCAATACTTGTGTTCATTTGTTTTCCCTGTGTTTCTTTAGGAACAGAATATACAGTGGAAAAAACAACTTTGTGAATATAATCTGCAGGTCCAGAGTGTAAGGGACGTGCTTGTGAGTGATGCTGAGCACAGGCTGCGCTCTGTCAGGGTGTGTAGGTTGACTAAAGTGTGCTATTTTTACCTTTTTATTTTCAGCAAATTAGCTTTGCATAATGGGAACAAATGTACTCCTTGCCACAGCAGTCAAGAGCAGCACTGCATCACAGCATGTCTTACAAGTTCATCGGATAAAAATGTCTGATTTATGATGTTGTAGGGCTGATAGGAGGAGGCAGAAAAGAAAGTATTAATAACTGTTCCCATGTGTCACAAGTGGGAGATGCTGAGACAGGCTGGAGTCAGAGGGCACTGGATTTCTGAGCAGGTGCTGGGTGGCCCTCAGGAGCTCACAGACACACGTGGGCACCTCACCTTTGATTCGGGGAACTGAGGGCATTTTATTTTTTAAGCATTTTATTTGCTTAAAGCCTGGCTCTAGAAGTCAGAAGGAAGGGGTGCACATTCCAGGCCTTCCGAAAATGAGAGTTAATTTTACACTAACAAACTCCCACCTCTATTCTGTCACTGCTGGGCACTTTATTAAAAGAGAGATGCTGGTGTCAAGTCCCCTTCTAACTAAAAAGGAGATGCTGGTGCCCTGTCCACCTCCTCGGGCAGGAGAGCACGTGGGTGTGTGCAGGGGCAGAGTGCACAGGGTGTGAAAGGGTTGAGTTTTTTAGATGGCTCTAATTGCAATTAGAAGTGCTCATCTTTGAGACCCGACTTGCTCTCAATGATTTATTTTTTGCTAATGAAAAGCTCATGCAGTTGCTATAAGGGGGAAAAAACCCAACCCCAAACCCCTGAGGTTTTGAAAACTTGTATATACAAACATTTAGGGAAATTGCTTGTTATGCCTTAAATGTTGAAGCTCTCTGAGCTCTGCTGGGATTCAGAGTTCAAGTCCAAGGCAGCAGTGGTGGAGCAGTCACCCTCCTCCTCTGTCAGTGAGGTGTGCAGTGCAATTAATGCCACTGCCCTCAGTAACAGCAGCGGGTGGACCTGCTGAGTGTAACTGAGGTAGCTGAAGGCTGGTTTTCCATCTCCTGCTTCCCAAGAGTCTCTCAGCCATCAGATGTTCTCCCAGGCCTGTGTTCTAGGCCATGGCTTCAAGGCCAGACAGGTAAATCGGATCTGTGGCAGATGAAATAGGACACAGGATGGTGCTATTTATGTTCACAGGACAGGAACATTTAAAATGCCGCAGCTTCCCAAAGAGGTTTAATTTCTTTGACAGCACTGACATTAACAACTGGCATTTTAAGAAATGCCCTTAAAAAAAATTCAAAGCTTTTTTTTTAGTAAGGATTTAAAAGCATTTTATTGATTGTTGTCCTATAAAATCATAGAAGTCTTTAATTCTTGAAGAACTGTGTCCAACAATAGGAAAAATGAAAAACATCTTTAAAAAACATTACAGCATTTTTGGAAAAACTAGGTATGAAAAATATATACAAGGTATTAAAAAAATCTGAATAAAATTAATGCCTGGATTTATACATTCAGTTATGTGTTAAACATCTGCCTGTATACAATAAATCTGTTAAAACAGTAGCAGTCTTTTAACTATGTTAAATAAGTCTTTGTTCAATTTACAGTTTCCATCATTACTATTTTATCAGTCCTCTTTTAAATTAATTTACAAGGCTGTATAATCACTGTCAGACCGTCCAGGTAAGTACTTTTGTACAAAATTATTGCCTTCCTAATACAGTTTAAATTGTTAGAGACAGACATCTTTACAAACACCCAATTCACCCACCCATGAAATCAGCGTATTACAGACTATAAAACAACCTCCAGGCCCTGTTCAGAGGTGAGGAGGCAACAAGAAGCAAGCCTTGTTCTCCAGGTTGTCCCCTTGTTTGTAGTGAGTGGAATTTATTTGCCCGCTGAGGCAGCAGCTGGTGGGGATGTGGTGAGGGTTTGTGTCAGTCACTGCTCCCAGGCAGGGCAGGGCTGTGGGGGTCCAGGGGTGCAGTCAGTGTGAGCTCAGCCCCTCCACGAAACTGCAGCTCCTCATTGTCCCACAGCACGGTAAAGGTTCAGCAGAACAGGGAAAGAACTGATCTCTAGTACTGAAGAGCAGAAACCCCCCAGCCCCAGAACAAAGTACTTCATGTCCCTGCAGCCCATCAAAACCCTGCTCTGAAACAGTAACTGAATCAGGGACGCCTTAAACACCTGAGGAAACCAGAAACAAACCAGCCCCTTTCCCAGCAGTTACTCCCTGCTAAAATACCTGGGCCAAGATGGATCAGCACCGTCTACTTTGCAGAGTGTGGTACCTTGTTTTTGCTTTCAGAAATCCTTCCACCACTGCAGAACTGAAAGGAGACAGTCTGAGCCGCCTCACAGTGTTTGTCAGAGCCCACCCCAGCTGGAGGCACAGCTCTGGATTCTTCCTGGAGCTTCTGCCAGCTTTGCTTGGGCCAAGGCCGGGGCTGTCCCTGGATGTGCACTGGAGAGGTAGATCGGCCTTTGTGAAGTGCAGAGCTGGTTATTCTAGTTCAGGTCACGCAGGTTCTGTCACAGGTGGGATTATATCCCATTAATATCCCATTAACACCCTGGCTGGTACTGGGACTGTCCCCCTGCAGCTCTGTGGGACACCCCCAGCGTTGCTGTTCATCTCCACACCGGGTCAGTGTCCGCTGTCCTGTGTCCTGGGCAGTTCTGGGGAAGGCAAGGTGATTAAAAACGGAGGGAGCTGAACAGGAGGCAGGGACAGAGCAACTGAAGTCAGCACTGGAACACAGGTCAGAGGATGCTGAGCTGAGCTCCCAGGACAATGCTGTGACCTGCAGTCTGCTCCTGGTGGAGCCAGGCTTCAGCTGGGAGCTCTGGGGAGGCAAAGCAGGACGGACAGGAGTATCCAAACGTCAGTGCTCTGGTGAAGTGGGGGTGGGCTCCGGTGCCCCCGTCCCACAGCAGCCCCAGCAGCCGGTGCAGAGCGTGGTGTGGGACAGGAACACGCTACACGTTGGTTTCCAGCCCCAGCAGGCGCCCCATGCGCTCCATGTTCTTGTCCAGGGTGGCCCGGCAGGTGATCTCCTTGGCACACTCCGAGGGGAACCAGCCCCGCTGGCCGTCCCGCAGCCGCTCCCCCTCGTACCAGCCTGCAGGGCACAGGAGGGACACGGGAATGGCACTGTCACCTGGCTGCCCTGCACTGGGCTGACTCATTATACACCTGCCTTGGCACTGAGTAAAGGACTAGATTAGGAGATTTTATATGGGCAGATTTTTATACAGGTAGATTTGGGAAGAAATTCTATGCAAAATGTATTACACAATTTCACTGGTTTTTTTATACTGTAATTAAAATATAGTTTGCAATAATGACTATAATATCACTGCAATCTAAAGAGCAATGCAGCACAAGTGACAGCATCTTGGATTTCATATGTAACACTGAGTAACATCAAGCTGGGATTTATCCCTCCAGTGCTGGCAGTGTCCTGCCTCCCTGTGCCAGCACACAGTGCTATCAGTGGAGTCACAGGCATGTCCACACAGGAACCAGTTTTGATGTTGGGGGCTTGATCCTGTGGGAAACCTCAGCAAACCCCCTGAGCCAGAGCCGTGGCCATGGCACTGCTCAGACTGGGGATGCTTCTCGTGGACAACCCTGGCACTCACCAGAGTGTCTGAGCTCCTTAGTTTTAGATAATTGCCATTTCTTACCTGTGGACATGTCAAAACCAGGCAGCACACACGTTCTGCAGCTGGTTATACTCTGCTCATCTGCTGCCCAACAGAGCCTGTCCTTTAGAAAACTGACCCCAATGTCCAGGCTTTTCTTGAAGCTGGTGTAGGCCCGTGCTTTAGGAACCCATTTCTTCCCGCTGGATCCCCCTGCAGAGGTGGTTATTACCCACAGCCAAACCCTCACTCACCGTCATTCACTTTCTGATAGACCAGAACGACATCAGCCACTTGGAGGGACAGTTCATCGGCCTGCTTGGCTGTGTATGTCCTGATGATCTCCACCTGGGCCAGGGCTGGGGAGGAAGGAGCCAGGCTGTTAAAGCAGCCCCAGGGCAGTGCACCTCATTAAAGCACACACACCCCTTCTTTTTCAAGTCCCCCCTTCAGAGTCCCCTTCCCCCACGCCCCTCCAGCTCCCCCAGTCCCACAGGGGTTACTCACTGGTCCTGTCGGTGTGGGGCCCGTCGCTGTCCTGTCCCAGCGCCGTGATCCACCGCGCTCTGTCGCTCCTGTGGGGCAGCAAACAGAGCCCAATGTCCCGGATCATGGTGCTGAGAATGTCAGCACTGAGACCCCTTCCTGCCTCCAGGCTCAGCACACACCTCCTCAGCACCCGTGAGGAACCTGTGTGTGTTCTGTGCCTCACTGACAGGGCCGTGCAAAGGGCTGACCTAACTCTGCTGCTTTTGTCCTCACGAGCCACACACCACGTGATGTGACAAAACTGAACAACTGTGGTGGAAGTCTCTGTGTCAGAGAAAACATTTCAGTTTCACCTGCACAAAATCCTGTTCCATAGGCACTCTGACCCACACAGTTGGGCCTTGGAGATTCCCTTCCCATCCTTCTCAAAGTATAAGACTACAAAAATAGGTAATTTTTAAATACAGGAATTCTTTTGAGCCTCTTCCTCTGAGTGACGATCTACTATTTATACTGCAAACAGTACAGAACAAATCAATAATAAATCTGCAGAACAAAATGTCTTTTCATTCAAAGTCCAGACAACTAAAAATGTCTTGCATTTTTTCCCCAATAAAATCGCATTTCCAAACAAGTCTGAATCATCTGCTGCCTTCATAATGAGTTCTTCAATAGAAAGCACTGATGATCTTTAGTTTCTTTCAGGGTTATTCTAAACTTTGAAAGCAAACCTAAAACTATCAATTTTTCCAGGCAGGGATATGTCTGGAGCTCTCCCTTTCATGTGTCTGTCCCTCCTCCAGCTGCCCCCAAACAAACAGACTCCTTCAGTGCTGGGGGGGTCGTGTGGAAGTCAATGGCCCTCAGAGCCACGCCGGGCACCCACAAACAGGGCCCTGCTTGTTGCTGCTCACCCTGCCCATGGGAACAAGGAGCAGGCTATCCCACTGTCCCTGCTGCCCGTGCAGAGCACAGCTCAGTGCCAGGGAGCAGGCACAGTGTCCTCCTCAGTGTCCTCAGCCATTCCCGAGCCTGCCCTGCACCCACACAGCCCCAGGGACAGCTCTGACCCCGCTGAGGGACCAGCCGGGACACCCCCCCCCGTCAGTGCAGCCTCTACTCACTGTGTCTCTGCTCCCAGCAGCATCTCCACCCTGTCCCCCGCGTGGTTGCTGAGCACCAGCAGCCTGAAGAGGTGGCCGGCAGAGCCCCGAGCCATCGCAGCCGCGTTCCTGGCGGGCTCCTCCTCGCAGGGCAGCACCACCAGCTGGTCCCGCAGCGAGTACTCGGTGACGTTGTAACTCTCCTCGCTGCAGCACAGAGGGCAAGAAAGACACCCCAGGTTAATGCCTGGCCTTTTTTCAGCAGGTCTGGATGCAAACACCGCCACAGAACCCACATTTAACTCCAGAGTCTGGCACGGTTCTTCCCACACCTCCATGAGCTCCACACAGCTCCTGCCACTGTGTTTGATGTGAAAACCAAGCTCTTACTTGGGCTCTGTGGGGGGTTTCACTCTTCTGCCAATTAAATACCGAAATATTCTGGTTTTTTGCAGAACAGCTTTGTGCACGATGGACACAGAACGTGCCCCTATTGGAACCTGTCCTGCTCTGATGCTCTGAGCCAGGGAAAGGTGGGCTGGGGTGGGTGGGTTTTGTTTGGGTGTTTTTAAAGAAGCCAGTTCAGTATTTTAGTCTGGACAACTCCTGCTTAGCCAAGGAAGAACTGGGAATGCTGCAATCGTTACCTGGAAGCCTTGCACCTGAGAAAGAAGTGTGTCCACACACTTGTGTAATGAATAATAAATGCATTCCTTGCTAATTATCAGCTAGTCTGCACATGTGCACAGCTAATCATAACTGCATCTTACAGAGAGAAACCCTAACAAATCCCTCCTACTCCTTACCTCCATCCCACAAACCAGTGGGATCAGACAGGGCAGGGCAGCCCTCACCCTTTGCCCCCTGTGCCTCTGGTGCCCGCACAGTGCCTCGTGCTGCCTTTGCTGATCCTCAGACAAACCACAGGATTGCAGGTTACACTCCCAGGCAGCACTGACCCTCTGGCAGGTAACATTCCCAGGCAGCACTGACCCTCTGGCAGGCAACATTCCCAGGCAGCACTGACCCTCTGGCAGGTAACATTCCCAGGCAGCACTGATCCTCTGGCAGGTAACATTCCCAGGCAGCACTGACCCTCTGGCAGGTAACATTCCCAGGCAGAACTGACCTTTGTCCTGCCAGCACTGACTGCTCCTGCCAAGATACCCCATTAAACCCTTACAAGTATTAAATCTTCTTTTAATGATCCTTGAAAAAGAGTCAGATTGTGTCTACACACCGGAGGAGCTACAAGGACAACTGACAGACAGAACATTCCCAATAAACTAAAAGCTGGGCAGTGGGGAGCAGCAGATTTTCCTTGCTCTCCAAAGCCTTGTGTACAATGACACATCCCAAGTTCCCATGTCCCCTCCTGAGCAGGGAGCAGCCCTTTGCCTCCCTCCCTCCCAGGGCCAGTGTGACAGAGCAGCAGCTGCTGCTGCCCCGCAGGTCAGAGCCTGTCCTGGGCAGTCCCAGCACAGGAGCCAGGACAGAGTGTGAGATGGGCCGAGCCAGGGCTGGGGATGGCTCTGGGCAAGGACCAAACTGTGACTGCAGCGCTCACAGCGCTCTATTTTTAGCACAAAGTGATGTCTTACTGCGATGTTAAGCATCCTCTGAAGTGTAACTGCTCCAGGAAAAACACCAACATTTAACCTCAACTAGCAACCAACACTTCTGTCCAGTGCTGGGTGCCACAGCAGCACTGTGGGTGGGAGCACAGCTCACCAGAGCCCAAACTCTGTTAACAAGCTCTGTCCCTTGGGCAGGGGGAGCTCTGTGCTCAGGGTATCGGGGGCTCAGAGCAACTGGTGCACATTTCTTCCAGCTTTACAAAAATCCTCCACTTCAATAATGCTCCCTCTTCATTTTGGTTTCTCTTTGCTTAAAAATTACCATTTTCTTCCCAAGTGTTACATCATACCCCATTCCTCAACATTTATTTCAATTACAGGTTTGCAGTCCCACAGAAGGGTTTGGCTGAACCGGCCAACCCAGATGTAAAAATAGTCCTTCAGAACAGTTCCCAGCCTCAGGAATAAGGTTTATCTCTCAAGTGTTACTCAACAGCATCAGCAGAGGATTTAAATTCCATTCAATTCAATTACTACACCTCCCCTCAAATCTAGCGATAAAAATGTAAATGGCAACTGCTGGAAGTTGTACCACATCCACCATCCTCAAAAACCACCCAAGCGTGGAAGAGTGGAGGGGAACGGACATTCCTGCTCCTTTATCCTTCCCAAACTTCTCCCTTGGCTAAGGCATCAAGAATGAATTTTTTAACTGGTTTGACAGTTTGGAATTTCAATTGTGTTTGCCAAAAGTAAATCCTGTTTAATGACCAGTTACTCGTCATTTGTACCCAGGGGCTGATGGACAGACTCAAATAACTCCTGCACTCATTGCTCAGCCACCACCGTGTCAAAGTCACCGCTGGGACTCGGGGAGCTCAACACAAAGGCAGGTTTACACTGCTGAAGCTCTTACCTCTTCTTCTTGGTGATGATGAGGACGTCGTTGAAGAGGAAGAAGTAGACCTGCTGCTTGGAGGTTCTTTTGGAAAACAATCCAGTGTCTTCCACATATGCCGTTAATTCACCCCTTTTCACCAACCACCTTGAGGAGGAAACCAGTGGAAAGGGCTGCAGGGCAAGGAAATCACATATTAGTCCTTCAAATGTAGAGGTATTTTAAAACCTCAGAGAATAGAGTATGATATATTTGGAAAAGATGCTTGAATGAACTCAAAGCTGAGAGATCACAAAAGGGTTACTGTGGTTTAAGGGACCTCCATCACTCTACACCACACAGGTAACAGCTGCAAATACCTGGGAATCACTCGGGCACCTGATCATTGCTCACCAAAGTAAAGATGAACAGACCTGACTGATCACACTTGGGGTGGAACAGACTGTGAGACCTCCTGAGGGCATTAAAATCGAGCCTGTCTTCCAGGGATGTGTTTGCAGAGCAGCGATGGCTCCCGAGGCACCTGTGGACTCTGGACTGCAGCAAAGCCACAGAGGGGCTGAGCTGCCTGATGTGAAGATCTGGATTTACTAATCCAAATTATTCCCAAGTGCAGGAGAAACAGAGCCCAGAGAAGGCCCTTTTGTTTCTCTGTGCATGAACAGGGAGATGTGGGACTGCGTGTCCTGCTCACACAGCCCCTCTCTGAGGCTGCACCGTGACACAGTGCCCAGCGAGGGCCCACACTGATGAACACCACTGCCTGCTTTCCCTCATTCAGGCACCTTTCCCATGCTTTGAAAACACACCCTTCCTGCAGCCTGTCAGCCCCTTCCCCCTGTGCATCCCAGAGTCCCTCTGCTGAGCCAGCCCTGTCTGTCCCTGCCCACGGGGCTGGGCCAAACCCAACCCCTGGCACTGCGACCCCGCTCCTGGAGGAACAAAACAGTAACTCCCAAAAATAACCCCCCACAACTTCTCTGGTGCTGAAGATGAAACATTTTAGAACTTCTGAACCTTGATTAAAAACTCAGTTCTAGAGATGTGCCACAAGATCTGAGTTGGTTCTCTTGTGCTCCCACAAAATTCTCCACAGTTACATCTATCAAAACAATAAACAAAAATCCCCAAACACTCTGTGTTTGGCTAGGCAAGAACAGAAATACTTTAGCTAATTTATAATGGTTATAAAACAGAATTACAGCCCCATGATGATTGGTTTACAAGGAAAAAATACTTTAAAAAGTTCTATTTGAGGATGAACTAAAAATTCCTCTAATCTGTACTCCAAGTGAGTTCATCCCATTTTCCTAATTGACTCTATTCCAGAGGCAGCTCGGTTTTACTTTAATTTTCCCTTAATTGCCAAAGGAGCACATCACGTGCACCATCTCCCTGTACAGAAAACAGGCTCTCAGAACTGAAAAATGCCTTGAGCCCTGGCCAAGCTGGGGCTTCCTCTGCCAGCTGGCAACTCCCCCCGCCAGACAGGGCCTGAGCCACCCCAGGCTGGAGCTGGATCACGAGGGGAAAACCTCCCACAGAAGCACAGAGGGACAAAGCCCAGGCAGCTGCTGTCGCTGCCCCATGAGGGGATGGACAGAGCCCCGTCCCCAGGGAAGGGCAGGGACCCCCAAGGGGCTCCTGGGACTGGGAACTGATGGAACCAGACAGGGCTCAGCCCCAGCACCAGGCTGGGCTCAACACAGACCTGAGTCTGGGATCACCACTGTCAGCAAATGTCACTTGGCCACAAGTGTTTTATTTGTTGTTGCCGTTGCTCTACATTAATATTAGTATTGTTTCAATTTTTAGTCAAAATTTGAGAATAAAAATCCTTTGGACAAGTTGAAAACCCCTTTTTGGAGACAGCTTTTCCCCAAAGCCTGACCCTCACAGGAGCCACACTTTTAAAACCACGAACCTCCACTCACTCCATGTCTGATAATGAAACAATCTTCTCTCAGAGGAATCCTCATTGTGTGACAGTGTCAGACACTCATGACAGAAATGGGATTTCAGCAAACATTGAATAGAAAACAATAAATGTATGTGAAGAAAGATCTTGAAAGTCCAATAAACCCCCGGCTGCCTGTGTGTGTGTTGGTTACTCCTACCACAAAGACTGACTGGAGATGATTTCTTTAATACAAAAAATTTAATACATCTCAGGTGGGACCTGAGATGTCCCACCCTTAAGGGGAAGGACAGACACTCCCAGGGTCCTTTCCTGGCCTGGAAGCCTTTTCCCAGGACACCTTTCCCATCAGGTCCATGAGAACACCTCAGCACTGAGCAGCACCTCCTAATGCCAAAATCCTCACAGCAGCTTAGTCTTTACAGCAAAGAATACTCTTATTTCAGTATATATTCAAATTCCCTTGTGCTATAGTGTCACCTTCTACTTAAAATGACAATACTTAACCAAAATTTTAATTTTTGCCCTGACACATCAGATTGTTTCTTTGCAAGAATCACTGTAGGGTACGACAATGTGGTAAGAGTTCCACTGCTCCACTGCCCGAAATATCCTCCTGCCCATACCTTGATTTTGAACTCCAGCTGGGAGTTGATGGTGTACATCATCTCCGTCCTCTCCATCTTCCGAGCGCCCTCGTTGCACAGACGCACCAGCTGCAACGAGACAGGGGCTGAGCTGGGCTCGGGGACTGCAACACCCACTGCTGCTCCTTTAGGAAAGGCACAGCCCCCAGCAGTGACACTGCAGGCTGGGTCACCCACAGGGAGTGTCCGTGGGTGCCCAGGGCTGGCCCCACACCCACCCTGCCCCACGGCCCCAGGGGCTGACCCCAAGAGTCCCCAGGACATGGGAACTGTTTGTTCTCAGGGGGGGCAGTGGTACAGAGGTCCAGGCCAGGCTCTGGCTGAGCAGGGCCACAGTGCTCTGCTCCAGGTGAATGATCAGCTCCAAACACTCCCCTCCTCCCAGCCGGACACAACCTCCCACCCACAGACCTGGCAGCACCAGTGGCACCAGTCTGGGCCCTTCTCCCAAGTAATAACCAGGAATTCTGGTGGAAAACCCATCCCCAGGGGCCCTTCCTAAATACAGCAGTGTGGAGTTTTTAAGCCTCAGTGCTCCTCCCACCTGCATTATTATTGCATGAAAAGCATCCCTTTTCCCTCACAGTGCACAGGAATGTTCAAGGGCCACGGGAATGCCCAGCCCCAGTAGGAGAGTCAGGAAGGAAAACAGTCAAAGCAAGAAAAATTCTGCAGAGAAAAATTTCAGTGAGCACTTAGGAACGTACCTTGCTGACTTCTTTCAGAGCCTGCTTGCAGTTCTCATATTTTGCTGAATCCTTGGGAGTTTTCTGGCAAATGGTCTGAAATAAAACATGAGTTACTTCAGAGGACCACACAGCACAGACTGCAACTCACAGAGAACTCAGAGTCCATGAATGATCCCAGGTGATCAAATTAATTAGTGCCCAATTTGCAAATCTACAGAACCAAATCAGCAGTCCTGCCTCTGGCTCCACAGAGCTGGACTCTGAGCCTGGGTCACAGCTGGGTGATCCAGCTCCTCCTCTGGCTCTGCCACTTCACCTGACACACCACGAGCCCTGGTGTGAACTGTCACACACAGTCCCTGGTGCTGCCATCACAGTCCCAGGCTCCAGGGTCCCTGCACAGGGAGGGACAGCTCAGTGCCACCCACACACAGCTGCCCTGCCCTCAGGAATGGAGCTCATCCTTCGGGAATGGAGCTCATCCTTCGGGAATGGAGCTCATCCTTCGGGAATGGAGCTCCACCACACACAGTTTCTGTGCTGGAGCCTCCTTGCTTTCAAAATTATGTGACCTTCAGTGTCCAATTTTCCTATCAGAATGTCCAGATCTTTAATGTGTGAATGGGGGTCAGGAGCAGGAGGGACCAGCCACAGCCAGCAAACAAATGCAGCAGAACCCCATCACCCACAGGACGTGCAGCCCTGGGCTGGCACAGGGAGAAGATACAGAGAGACTGGAATGAACCAGGAATTGAGTAGGAGAGCACGTTAACACTGAAGGAACATGTCAAGGAAAAATAGAGAAATAGCTGTTCTCACATCCATCAGCAAGGGGAGACGAGTGACTCTCTGCATAGGGAGGATGAGGAAGGAGATCATGGGCAGATTCCTGCAATCCTCATGGGACTCGATCCGGGACAGCACCTCCTTAAACGCTGGATTGGTGGCTCTGGGGGGAAAGAGGGAGAGGATTAAATGGTGTGTTTTACCAAACAACTGTGCAAGTGGTTAGATCTCCCAGAAATCCTGGTTTCATTGCAGGGAAGTGTGATTTGCAGGAGCTGGATCACCTGAGGCCGGCACTGCCATCAAACTCAGGCGCTGCCACCCCTGGCCACGAGGGCACACTCAGGGAAGCCCCTGGGACACCGAGCCAGCGCAGGAGGGGGAACTGCCCCGTGACCACGGGCAGGGCTGGGCTCTGCAGCCCAGAGAGTTCCCACTGCCCATCCCCTTGGAGGAGCGTGCAGGGACAGCTCAGCCTGTCAGCACACCCAGGGAACCACAGGCACCCAACTCCAGAGCATGCCCTCCCTCCCCACGTGGTTTGGCAGCCCCGGTGCTCACAGCAGCCTCTGCAGCGTGCGCTGCTGGTACACCTCGTTGGTGCAGTACTTCACGTAGGGGTCGAACGTGGACGCCGCGTGCTTCTCCACGATGTCGCTGATGTCGTCGATGAAGATGTTGTTCTGGTGCCTTGCTTCCAGTTCTTCAAAGAACCTGCGAGGAGGAAATGGGCTGCTCACCTGGGCAAGGAAACGGCATCCCTCTCTCACGGCACTTACCCCTTCACCTGCCACGACCCAGGACTTTGCAAAGGAATGACAACTGGAACTGGTGACAGGGTGAGATCAGCCCTCCTCTGGCAGGGCAGGGAGGGAAATCCTGACAGGACAGAAACCCAGGGGCTGCTGTGCCCTGGCAGAGCAGCAGCAGCGTTGGCAGAGGCACTTCCCACTCTCCCAGTGCCAGAACCCAAACTGAGCTGGTCAGACCAGAATTTCCAGAAATGGAGTTGGAAAAGAAATGAAACTACTTCAAACGCACATTAACACATTTCCTCTTGCAATTAAAGGCAGCACCACACCAGAAGTGCTCAGTGAGATCAAGGTCTGTGTGAGTGCTGAGCCAGGACAAGAGCCATGGTTGGCAGAGGGGGACATGGTGCTCATGCTCACATCCCCCAACCCACCCTGGAACCAAACACTGAAAACGGACCCAGAGCCCCAAATCCTCAGCTGGCTCCTCCCCTCACCATGCTTGCTGTCCCACATGGAAGTCTCTTTGGCCTCTGGAAGCTTCCCACTCCTTTTAGCACTCCTAACTTTCCCACAGCATGAGCCCTGATTTCCACGACACTCACTAAAACCTCTCCCTGTTTGGGGAGCAGGAGCTCACACAGACCAGCTCTGCAGGTCCCACAGTCCCCCCACAACACACAGTGCAATCCTCACACATGCAAAGCTGCTGACAACCTCTGAGCAGCCCTGGCCACGGCCTCTGTGCATCAGGATTCACTGCAGGAATCCTCAGCTCCCTGCAGTCAATGAGCTCATTAAAAATTCTCATATAGCACAGAAAACATTAAGCAAATACTTGGAACACGTGATCCTACATCAAGCTCAAATATTTTGAAACCTGTTTTATTTCATTTCAGCCCTTTATTCCGTTTTCTCATCACCAAGAGTGGCTCTTCAAATCTGTCACCTTCTTTCGAGTGTGCCACTGATGCTCTCCATATTCTGTTCTGCAAACACACCTCACACCTGAGAGGAGAGCAGGACAAACAGCAGCTGCTCACCCACACGTGTAGGAACAGGGGTTAACTCAACTGCACTGAGTGGCTGCCAGGCCCCCACTGCGTCAGTCCCAGACTCAGAACAATCCAGGGGCTTTTGTCCCATTCTGGATTTTGTTTGGTTTTGTTAAGTTTGGACACAGTAACTGCACCTGGACTGGCTGATGTTTGTGTTGGCATTTCATGGAAAACAAAGAGACACCACCCCCCCTACTGCAGCCCCCCTTCCCTCAGCTTCCCCCTTCCCTGCCCCTCTCAGGGGTGCTTTTGAACAGCCTTGTCACCTCTGAAAGGCAGAGTCCTCAGCACCCTCTGCCCCCACCACCCTCTCAAAACACAACAGTTTCCAGTTGGCACTGTGGGTTTGGGCTGAGTGTCGGGACCACCCCAAGGGGCACATCCCACTCCCTGCTCCCAGAGCTCAGGGACAAACACTGAGGGCAAGAGCTGTCTCCAGTCTCGCTGGGCTGCAAGAAGGTAAAAAAAACAAATAAAAAATGAAATAAAAGAGAGCCTCCAAGTCACAGAGTCTGCAATTTCTCATGAACCACAACAGATTCCCACCCCTGCCCACCGGGAACTGGGATTCCTCACTCTCTGCTCAGACACATTTACAGCTGGGAGAACCTCCCACTGCTGCCAATTTACTGTGCTCAGGAAATGAGGAAATCCAGCGTTTCCTGCTGGTTATGGCACCCTGACAAGGTGTTGGACCCTGCTGGGCCACAACTTCCACTTTTAGAATTTATCTGGTGCTTCATCAATGACATCAGACACAGTCACTGTAAGACTCGTAAAAATCTGGCATGGCAGAAAACTTGTAAAAAAAAAAAAAGAAAAAAAAGAGAATAGAGGGGCAGAGAGGAGCAGCACCCCCAAGTCCAACCCCCCAATATGTGCTACAAGGAAATCAGGCACTGGAGTTGGAATCAAAGGTTGTGGTTTTTCACATCCAATCTGCTAATTCCTAGTTACAATCAGTGAATCAGACACATCATAAACCCTTTCACTTATAAATTCAGGATGTATTCTGTTACATCTCAGGACTGAGGGATGGAGTGATTAAATTCAATTTAACCAACTAGGAATTAGCTGTGCTGTGTGATGCTTTTTTTGCTGAATACCAGAAGAATTTATTTAAAGAACCTGCTTCTGTTAATTCCAGAACTTTTCTAGTTGAAGTTACATCCAATTAAGTGAAAGTCAAACAGCATCACAGGTCAGAATTTGATTTCCCTCATCTTGCCCTTATGTTGTTTAAAAGAAACATCCAGGCTTGCACCACCTTGGTGCCTTCTCGAAGCTGCACATTTGTTGTGCAGATCTCAAACCAGACTGACCTGGCTCAGACACAGCCAAGAGAAGCTGCTGCTTCCTCTGCATCAGGCTGTGCCCAAGGAAAGCTGAGATGGGAGTCCCAGGAACTGCTGAACCTCCACCCACTTCACTGCTAAAGGAACACCCAGATAAACACAGTTGGTCTATTTTGTGCTAAGAAGTGCTGTGAGGAAGCTCACCTGGTTCCTAACATATATTCACACATTGAAAATTGGATTAGGGTACTCAGACAAGCTGTAAACCTCCCTCACAAACACACACTAAAGAAATCAAGACAGAGTTTACAAAGAGAGCCTTTCCAGATCCTTTTGTTAGTGTCTTTTTCTGCCAGTGCAGATCTGAGACCACAGAAATATTCTGCCTTTTGCTGGCCTGATGGCAGAGAGGCACAAATGCTAAAGCTTTCCTTTCTCTTAGGAACCTGCTGATTTAACCTGCGAGACCATCGTTCCTCAAGACATTTCCCTGATTTCCCTGTGACTGCTCCTTTCCCAGAGAGGCTCCTGGGGGGCTGTGACCTCTCCTGCCCCACACCCTGACAGTGATTTCTCACTGCTCAGCCCATTCCTCACTGAGCTGTCCCAGGGCACCCCCCCAGCCCACCCAACAGCTCCCTGCACCTGTGGGGGTTCAGTCCAGCACTCCTGAGCTCCCACACCTCACACACAGGCAAAGACACCAGGAAAGATTTAAGCTTTCCAAAGCCACCTTCCCAGAGGTTTCCACAAACACACCCAGTCAGTGCTGCCCAAATTATTCAGCCCCACTGTCTTTGTTCGACATTCCAGTGAGCTCCCCAGAGCAGGGAGGACTCTGCTGTCTGCATTCTGCTCCCAACAAAGGCAGCTTTGTTCCCCCAGGAACGGCCCTGTCGTGCACCACAGGCCTATCCTGGTGCTTCTGGAGAGTCTCCATTAAAGGAGTTCCAAGGCAAAGTTCCTAGAGAGAAGCTTGAAGCACTTTTGACTAAAGGTTTTTATTAAGTATTTTTATCAGCTCAAATTCTCCAGCTCACCAAACTTGTGCCTGCACAACCAAACCCACTGGTAACTACACCCATGCTCAGGTTTTATGTTTTTAAGCACACAGTTTTAACACACATTTTAAAATACTGCAGAATGGGAGAGATGCTCATTTTTATCAAAAAAGGACAGATTTTGTTACCTTGAAGGACCTTGAAAATGGAAAGAGACAGTTTGAAGATACCAAAAAAAGAGGCTTCTGGTTTAAAATCCCTTCCATTATTTACACAAATGACATTGGTCAAAGTCAGCACAAAGTTTTGTTACAGTTTAACAGTATTGTATAATTCAGCAAAGAAAATATGTTTTCATTTAAGCGTAAAAAGGAGTTACAACTTCTGTTTTTACTCCAAGTTACAAAAGAAGCCAAGCTCTTAAACCATCAGACTTTACAGACAAGAAAGAATGAGATTATAATTCTAGGCTAGTGTGGTATTTTTCCATGCTTTCCTTTTTTTTTTTTTTTGCTTCTCCCCCTCCCACTTCCTTTGAAGACCATTAATCAAAAGGGTTTTAAGAGTTCCCCTAAAAATATTGCTCTCCCCACCCCCATCATACTTTCCTTTTCCAACACACATTTCACGTAAGGAGAAGCCTTTAAAAAGTACTTTTCCTTGAAAACCCAGACTTTGATAATCTGCATTCCCTGCCCCCCCTGCTGGGGTACAACCACTCCTGAGGTGGCTGAGGGGTCACCCAGCCCCCAGCTCCTGCCACCAGACCTCAAGGATAAGAGAGAGAGCAGAGGGAAGGGGACACAGGGAAGGTGCCGCAGCCAATCCCAAGCCTGTTCCACAGCTCCTCAGTTGGGTTTGCACCTGGCACAACACATCAGCCTCTGTTCTCCCAGGTACATCCATGGAACAAAACCCTGGTACTCCAAAAACTTCAGAAGACAAAGCCAAACCGCTGCCAAACCCCACAGCCTTTATGGGCCTTCAGAGAAAATGCTAAAAAGGACTTTCCCACAGCTGGGAACACGAAACGTCACAGGTTCCACAAAGGTGCGTGAGGGTTTAATGCTAAAGAATTCAGATTTCAAAATCACAGTTTCTACAAGCAGGACAATTTCTACACAGGAGACAAAAGAAGAGGGCACAGAGAAAAAAATATTCCGATTCCTTATTGAAGCCTGAGCCCCCCTTTGTGAAAGCAGGCCAACACTCCTGTGTTCCACAGGTAAACAGATCCATGGAAAGCTGCACAGAGCTACAGCTGAGCCCACTCCCTGCCTTCACCAGGACACATGCTTCACTTTGCAAGCCTTGGAACAAATGGTCACCAGTAAAATGGTCACTTCAGCTTCCATAAGAAACCTGCTTTGATGTTTAAAGACGTGCAACTCTTTTAAATGCAGAAGTGCTGCACTTACTTTTTGCTTGCCTCGTAAACATCGGTGATGTTGGAGAAGAGGTGGTGGCTCTCTGTTTTGGTCATTGTGAGGCTCAGTTCCCTGGAATTTTTAAACATCCGGATCAGGATCTCCAAGCTCAGCAAGTAAGAGTGCTCAGAAGAGATCACTTCAAATATTGCCTGCAAAGCAGAGGGGAGAAAGAAAGGACTTACTAGTGATGGGGCTTTCTTTTCTTAAGAAAAAAGCAATGTTGAGGAAGGGTGCAAAGCAAAGATTTTGCATGCAAACTACAGATTATGACATAAATATTCCCCTCTATGATAGTTGCATCATTTACTTAGAAATAAGTGATTTAACACTAGAAAAAAGGACTTTTTGAAGAAGTCTGTATTCAGAGTTTTCAATGCAACTGTTTGAAGACAACTCAAGACCAAGTGTGACCATTGCCCATTCTCAGAGAGAACAGGTAAGTGCCTGGGTGACAATCTGCCAGCAGAGCAACTGCTGTCAGGGACAGAGGTCACAGCAGGGACACAGTGCTCACATGTCCAACAGGGCTAGTTACAACTCAGGGCCTTTGGAAAAGCTGCTCTTTGTTCCTCATTGCCTTTAAAAATCCCTGTGCCACCTCCTCCCTGTGTGATCTCGGGGTTAATGTCACACCTTCCCTGGCACAGCAGTGACTGTGCCACTGCCAGGCTGGCCCTGCTGCAGTGGGAGGGCCCAGGAACCCCCTGGCAGGGACACAGCACCTCAGCAACACACAGGGTTTGTGTATTTATTCTCCTGGGGACAGGGGACACTTCACTCCAGGGCAGGGAGCCAAGCAGGGACTCTCCTTGTCAACAGAGCAGCCCTCGGCAACCAGCCCCAAGCACAGGGTAGGGAGATACCTCCTGTCTCTTCCTCTCCTCCTGGCTGATGGCTTCTGACAATCCATTCCTCTTCACCTGGAAAGGAAATAAAGCAATATTTTTAAAATCTCTGGGGGAAAATGTGATCTTAAAAAATAATACAGGACTATCAAAACATTGCAGCTAAATAATCTGTCCACTGAAGGGACAGCAATAAGCCACAAGACCTCACACACACTTCCCTCCTCCCACTTCCCTCAGTCTTCTCCCAAAGTTCCATCAGCAGCAGCTTTCTCTCCTTACTCCACCTGCTCCCTGGAATGTTACAGGATATATTATTCCTCATTTTTAATTGTTTTAATTGAAATAGCCTTCAAAAAAAAAATCGCATTTGTGACACTATGCCAACAAAAACTTCACTTAAGGCAAGAACATGACCAGAAGGACTGGAAAAGGCCCAACACCACAGCTACTGATCCTGTGTGTCATCACTTTGGACTGGCTTTTCCTCAGCAACTCAGTTATAACTGATTCAGCCATGGAGATGAGGAGGAAAGGGTGAAAGAACAACAGGTGATCACTGGTTAGGAACAA